ACAAGAGAAGCATCCAAATCGAATGAAATCTGCATTTTGTGCGTGCATGTGGTTGTGTGTGTGCCTGCAGACACACGAAGCAAAGAAGTAAAAACAGGAGCAGAGCATGTGAAGGGACGCACACAAAAATGTACGGCAGAGGTGCATGGCGGAAATAAAGAGAAAAAGACTGCTCAAGCTCATGATACTGCACTGCAGAAAAAGCAGCGGCAATTCATTAAAAAATTTAATAAAAACAAATAAATAAAACTCATCCTCAACGTTCCACTCCTCACACTTTAAAAAAAAAAACAACGAAAATGAAAAAATGTCCTTTATTACGGCCACACCCAAATAATAGAAAAAAAAACACAAAAAAAGCACCCAACTACCATCTTGCTCCAGAAATTGCCTGCATATATTTTGTCCGCAAAATAAAATTAAAAGGTATTTAAATGTCTTTCAACCGTCCGACCCTCTGTGTGTCCGCACATCGTTTATATTTAATGGGGTCATCTGCGTGTTGCTGCTCCCCTCAGCCCTCCCATCGGCGCGTGAGTGCGGCCCGCAGAGCACAGTCACTCGTGTGTGTGGGGACTGAGAGAAGCACGCAGACATGACGGCAGTCGCGTCACTCCATCGGGAGAGTGAGCGCAGCAAAAGCAAAAAATGTTAAAAACACGGCGGCAGGGTGTGGCTGTGTGTGTGGCGCTGCGGGTGTCTGCCCGCCCTGGCCGCAAAGAAACAAAACAGGAGGGAAAGAAATGTGTGCTCCGCCCCACAGGCCCTCGTCGCACGCCCACACGTCACGGCTCCCTCAGCGAGCCGTTCGTCGCGGCCCCTCCTCATGCGTGCAGCAGGCGAGGCGCACAGGGCCGTCGTCGTGAGCGTGTCGGTGGGTGTGCGAGTGGAGCAGTTGGGCGGGAACACACGGCACCCCTCACAGGAAGAGTGCAGCAACAAACAATTAAAGAGGGAAGAGTAGAAAGAAAAAACGTCCATAGTGATTGCCTCCGAAAGCAGAAAAGGGATGTGAAAAAAAGCAACATACACATAAAAATAAGAAAAGATTTTTAAAACAAGAAAGAAGCAAACAGGAAAATAAATTTAAAATACGCAAAAAAAAGATTTATGAGAGATATTAGTTCCCGGAGAAGTAATTCAGTGCAGGAAGGTCGCAATTATTCCACGCGGCAGCCAGTCACTCCTCACGGTGCCGCAAACACCCACAGACCCAACAGAAGAAGCAGCGATGGCAGCAGTCCGCTCCCACGCGTGTTGCCGCCATCGCTGTTATTCTCCTGCGACAAATTTCCGAGGCTGCTGCTGAGTGCCGTAGCATTTACTTCCCCGGCCTGTGGATGGATTTCCTCCTCCTCTCCCTGCGCATCCGTTCCTCCCACCGTCTCCTCATCCTCAGCAGAGCTTGCGCTCGACTCATGATTCACCGTGGATCCGCCAGGAGTGGACACGGACACGGTTTTCTGTGCAACTGGTCCGCTCACCGCTGTCGAAGGAGTATCCACCACCATCGCTGCGGTAAGATCTTCAGGAGGTGAAATGGGGGCTTTATTCGGGTTGAGGGCGTCAATCTCTTGGGAAGTCAACGGGTGATTGTACAGCAGGACGTTCGTCACAGTCACAGACACGCCTTCTTGACCTTCTGTGTTGTCTCCATCCCCTCCAATGTAGAAGTGTGAGATCTTTTTGTCTTTCTTATTCTCCAATTTACATTCTTCATTTCCCACACGCTTACCATCAACGTACGCAGAGCCCTGTTTTCCGTTCTGTAGTACAATGGCCACTTGGTGTGTTGTCTCTGTCGCCCAAGTCCTGCTGTGCTCCGTGGTCGTTCCGTCACCGCACAGCACCCGCCACTTCCTTTGTTTGTCGTACGACAGTCCCAGAAGAACTGTATTCTCATTGTCATTCATCTTCGCACCCATCAATGGAATAGGGGTAGCTCCCTCCGGCTCACCGTGGATGGACACCGTCGCCACAAGAGTGAAGTTGTAGTTCGCAAAGTGGTACAGCTGATTCTCCCCTTGCTCGCCAACAGGCCACTCCGCCCACGCACCACGCCCCGTGAACTTCACGCCATCGGCATGCAATGTTGCCTCCGTTGCAAGTTCTGCAGCACCTTTTACTTTGGCGTTCACCCCGAGGTACTAATCCCTCCATGTGTCATTAGAGAAGTTGCCGGACAAAAAGCCAACCAACCCTTCCGTGATCGTACTAGTGCAGGCAGTGTCAGTTGAGGCATCCTTCTCAGAAAGGCACAGCTCGGAGACACGGTCGTCCACTTTCTTCCAGGTCGCCAGCACATCCTTCACCCGCTGCAGCTGCGCAGTCAGACGCACAGAGACCATACCGAGTGATGGTTTTTCCCCATCGCCCTTCTTCTTCTCGTACAGTGCAATCAACTCCTCTTTATTTCCTTGACCTCCGCTTTTAACACTTTTGTACAGTAGGGAGCTGGCGGCAGCGTCATCTTCCTCGGATACCGGCCCAATATCAACAATGTGCGTGTTGTCCGTCAGCCAAAGATGGAGTACGCCTTTTTTATTTGTGATTACCCCCTCAGTCTTCTTAGAATACACCGGCAGAGTAACGAGCATCACATCCTTCTTATTATCATCTTCAACACCGCCAAGAGTCGCTGTGGTGAACCCGCTCCTAACGCCCTGTTTGCAGCCCCACACGCGCGAGAGTGTCCCGAGTGCCTCCGTCCACGAATCCCCCTCGTCACCGATCTCGTACACCCTGCGGCGGCCGTCATCACACGCAGTCATCATCATGAGTTTTCCCTTCCACTCCACGACGGAGGGATCACTGCAGCCATCGGCAGACATCCCCTTCGACAGCACCCAACCATCATTGGCCGAAAAGTATATAATGAGTGAAATGGTCTTCCCATTCTCTTTTTTCGTTCCTTCCACTGGGAACAGAAACGGACCGTCCTTCATCTTAAGACCCGATCCACCGCCGCCAATCAGCCCTGTCAAGGACTGCTGTTGTTTTTTCAAATCAGTCCAGAGAAAACGGTAGGTATCATTCCAGTTTACTCTTTTGCCGCTTTCTTCACCACTGACGTTTCCTCTCGCCAGCAAAAGTCCCCATTCATCTCCTACACTCTCCTCAGTACCAGTGGCAGCTGTCCGACTGTAGTTTCCAACAAGCATGTAAATATCACTTCCTTTCACAAGTGTTGTTGGCCGGCCGACACGTAAGTTCATCACTCTTTGGGAACTGTCCGGTTTCACTGTTTGTGAGGGGCATTGCCTTTCTTCCGAAGCAGAGCATTCATCCAGTACTTGTGTCTTCAGTTTGCTCTCATGCAACTCCTCTTTTAGCGTTTCACCATTAAACTCCAGGAGTTCCGAGGCAATCCCAGTGAAAACGCATCCTTCATCCTTCGTGCACTGCGCTTCGGCAACGGCAAACACGCCACCATTCACCTCAACAAGAGCGGGAGCATGGAGCGAATCCACTTTTTCTCCTTCTTTCACATCTCTCCAAGCAAAATGTTTCCCCGGTGAAGATACTGGACACGACGCCGCTCCATTATTATTGGCTGCAGCCCCGGTGTCGTAACACATCATCACGACGAGGAGGAGGAGCACCGCGGAAGTAAACACACGCCGGGACATGTTGGGCCTCTGCGGCTCACTCTCTCTTCCTTCCCTCCTCCTCCCGCTGGATCCGGTCATGCGGCGACGGTTGTGTGTGCGGGGTGCCATCACTGCAGCAACACGCGAGAGCATATAAATATGTGTGTGTGGGCGGTGTGTGTGCCGTTGGTCCTTTAGTGCCTTCGAATTTCACAGTAGCGTTTAGCGCTTGTTTGCTTTCTTCGTAGGAGCGTGAAGGAAATGAAGAAAACAGGCTAATAAAAAGAAGCACAACAGTGAAAACCGTCACCCATCCACAGTGAGTGGCACCATCATCCCCGCCGCAGTCACTCCCAACAACAACAACTCACGCACACAGACACACGGAACGAGAAGGAAGAGCAGTGCACCGGGAACACACAGCGACTGCCACCACAACCAGCAGCAGGAGTCACGGCGGGTGTGTCGTTATCCACGCGTCAGCACACACCGAGCAACGCCCACACACGATAACAACCAGCAAATTACAAAAGAGCACAACCGCCCTTCGCAGCACCGACACGCTGCCGCCAGTCTTTTTACCGTTTTCTCCTCCAATGCACCCGCTTCCCCGCCGCAGGCGCGTATCACACCGCACAGCCGAAGAATACCGACAAATCCAGAGCGGGAGGGACCCGTCAGCATGTGCAGCAGCTTGGTAAGAATCAATCAACAGTTGTATCAGGCACCCAAAAAAAACAGCCACATACTGCACACCAGCAACATGCCAACAAAACACATCGAGGGCTAACGTCCTCCGTCCTCGCAAGGGCCGCCGCAGTCGGAATCATGTGAATGCGTGCGTTCTCAGCGTTCACACCACTCCACAGCGTGTGAGACATATTGTGTGTGTGTGTGTGTGTGTGTCAGCGCCTATACTTGAAGAACAGCTGTGCGGCACAAGAAAGTCCAAAGAAAGCAACGGCAGAGAGAGGCAGATAGCACACACTCAAATTGCTCATATCATCACACAGACACGCAGCCGCGGAATGGGTGCACTCAACCACAACACAAAAAAAAAAAAAAAAAGCCGAAGCGTGGGACGACCAGCGCACACACACTCTCATTGCTCCCGTAAAGCAAAACACACACACACAGAGAGAGAGAGAGAGGTCGCCCACTCAATGCAATGGAAACAGAAACAGTTACGGTGCTCCGCCCATGCAGCCAGGCAGGACGGCAGCGGTGCGTGTCGTGCAAAAGAGAGCACCAACGGGCCTGCATGGGTGTGCATGCATATATACAATGGGCACATTATGTGTGTGCCTCGTGGGGTGAGGTGAGGGCGAGAGTCCATGCAAGGGGACACACACACAGAGAGAGAAGGACGAGTGTGTGTGCGGGCGGTGCACGGCTCTCTCACACTCACTCTCACGCGGCCACCACCGCAGCAGCAGCCGCACACGCAACAACAAGAAGAAGAAGCAAAAGAGGGGAGGTGGTGTGGGAGACTGCAGTGCTGCTGTCACTGTCACCGTTGTGTTTAGTTGCGTTTTCTTTTGTATCCGTAAGGTTTTGTTTGTTCCTGAACTCCTCGTCTTTGTTTAAGGAGTGTTCTGGCTGTTGCGGTTGTTGTTGTTGTTGTTGTTGTTCGTGTCGTTCTGCATTGCTTTCCTGATCTCCGTCTTTTGTTAGGAGTTGCAATTGCTTCTCTTGTTGTTGTTTTATTTGCTGTTCCTGTGCAGGGTTATGTTCTTGTTGTCGTGCTTTGCCTTGTAATTCATGTTGTTGTGCATTTCCACTTTGTAGACTTTGATGTTGCGGTTGCGTGAGCTGTTGTCCTTGACCTTTTTCTTGTACTTGTCGTGTGTTTTCTGCTTCTGTTTCATCATCAATTCCTTCATCTTCTTCCTCCTCCACTTCTGCTCCAACTCCTTTTGTTGGCAAAGATTCTTCTAGAGAAGTGGGTTTTTCTCTTCCTTCGTCTTGTTCATTTGGTGCTGGTGCTTCGGCGCCCGCTTCTCCTGGCACGGGTTTTTGAATATGTGCTGACCCCAACCGCACTCCATTACCACTCGCAGAACCAGCGGGATCACCGGCAGCTCCTCGACCCTTCTCCTCACCGGAAGTGCCTGGTGACGGTGACAGACCGGCCACATGACCTGCTGCCGATAGCTGTACCGATTGGGCCGGACCTCGCACCTCGGATAAATTGTGTTGTACGCTTGGGCCTACAGGAACACGTGGATCGCTCGCCTGATCTGGTCCGTCTGGCTCAGTCTTCGTTGGATTGGGGCCTTGTTCAACATTTTCATCTTTAACACCATTCTCTGCCGCGCACACGGACGGGCAGCAGCACAGGGTGAGCACCAACAGAGCGCACAGCAGACGGCACATCATCATCATCGTGAGTGTGGTCGTTCGGTGGTGTGGAGCTGATCTGCACAGTGAGGGACATGGAGAGCAACAGGGGAGACGAGAGGTGCGGCAGACACACACAGAGGGCACACCACATGAGGAGAGGGCAGCAGCCAGGCATGCACCGTACGCCGCACACCACGCACGACACACACTCCAATCCACGGCAGGCACACACACACACAGCCCTGCCGCAGCACCAACACACAGATGGAGGAGGGAGAAGCAAACAGGAGCGGCACACAAGGCTCCACCGCATGCACATACGGCGAGAGCGGTCCGTCGTGTCGGCACCCCTCACGGAGGGTATGCACACACACAAGAGGAGGTGCAGCGCACACAGCAACACAAAAGCAAAGTAACAATGACAAGGGGAGATCCCCGCACACCAAGTGGATTGTTGGTCCACGGGAAGCGCAGCCAATATTCATCACAAAAAGATGTATTTTTTCCTCTTCAATTTATTTTGTGACAGCCATGAGTGAATAGCGAAAAGGCTCCCCGTACAAAAGTGACAACCATTCAGTCCTAAACAGGCCTTCGTGCAGGCTGGGACAGTCCAAACAGTCACAGTCCATATTCTCAATGACAGGGCATTACCAAAGTGGATGAGGCGGAGTCTCCCGTGGTCCGTCGTGGATGAGCAGCGCGTGGCGTCTGTGATCAAGCGGTGGCGGAAGAGCTTGGTCCATCTCGAGTACCCGCGTTTGTGCTTCCTGCGTGTCTTGCCTGCTGGCATGCTTGCGACTTCGGTGGCGACCTGCGCACGAGGCGCCTGCTAAGAGGACGGTGGCGCCATTGTGGCATCCGCATGTGAGGCCTGTCAAACTATTTGAACGCCAGGCGGAGCACGTCGAGAATGTGCCCTCACACTGTGGACGGACAAGCGCACTCTGCCGCAGGTTGGGCAGGAGGACGTCAATCCGCCGCTCGCTGGTCGGCAAGGAGTCGCGGCGCTCACGTCGGGAAGAGGTTCCGGCGGAGGCAGAGGCGGGCCGGTCACCGCAGTGAAGAAAGGGACAGCACCACCGACACAGGGAGCTATTTGTGATCCGCAGGGTGCGTGCAGGCCTGTCGAAGAGCGGGCAGGAGTCGCATCGCGCAGTGCGCGGTGCCGCCACTCGGGCGCGACGTCCGGGACAACACCAGGAATGGAGTTCCGCCACACCGACAAGCGCCTGTCACGCGGTGTGCGCGCCTTCCTTTTCCTCCTGGAATTTATTCCAGTACAGTCGCCTGACTGCGGTGAGGAGGCCCACGCGCCAGGCATTGACGCAGCCCTTCGGGAGGGATCGCGCCATGACGGCATCAGCGTCCGCTGTCACGTTGCGTGGGGCTCCGCAGTGCCATGGTGAAAATGTGGAGCCAACTGCGCGACCTCGATCCGCCAGTGAAAGCGGCACGGTACAAATCTCCTCGGTGACGTCGTCGTGCACCGCCAGCGAGCCAAGGCGGAGCGACTCCATCGCCGAGAGGGAGTCTGTGGCGGCAGGAACTCGAGTGGGCAATTGGGATGCTGCCAGGCGGGGAACTGAAAACTGTCTGTGGCCAAGCTCAGTGGCAGGGCACTCCGCTCGGCAGGAGCATGCGAGGCTGCCAGCAGCTGCGCGGTGAGGTCCAACAGGGAGCGCCGCTGTCCGGGGAGGAAAGTGGCAGCACAGTGGATCCAGACGCACGCTCAGCAAGAGAAGGCGAGCCGTCCGTCCAGCGGCCTGCGTCATACGGTCCCATGGAGGCGCAGGCCGCTTCAAGGGCCGATCGTCTGACACCGTCCAGGGTGTCCTTGGCATGCCGTGGCTGGAAGACGCCCGCCTCGTTGCAGCTCACAGTGTCCCGGCGACAATTCGCTGCTCAGCATGAGGGACGCGGATTTGGTCCGGGGAGATCTCCATGTGACCGCAGACGCGTCGCGGTTCCTTGAGGACGGCATCTCCTGGAGCGGATAGTCTTTGCCGTCTTCCCAAGTATTGAATAAACTGTGTTTTCCGAGCAGATCACGCCACGCACGTCCTCAATATATCGGAGAATTGTGAGGCGTTCGTGTTGTGTTGGGTGTGCGGAACCCAATGATCCTCCGCAGCGGTGCTGGATTATTTTCCATGTGGACAGAAGTATCCTTCTTTGATGCGCGTGGTCCGAGCGATGCTGTGCAGCTGTCGCGGTGCCGCACTTCCAGGCTGTGGAGGTGAATGGGGACCAAACACGGTGCGATTGCCTCGCCGCCGTGGTGCGAAACGCACTGTGGACGCATCCAACCAGAAAGGACTGCATGGTGTGATGGGACGCACCAGCTCTTGCGCCCAGCCGCGGCTGATGGCGGCGTGGCACGCTCTACTTTGCTGTCTGTGTGAAGAATTTTGCTGTTTTTAAATTTTGGTACGGGCCGATGGTGCATTGGCGTTTCCTGATTCGGTAGGGGAATTGAGTTTCTGAAGAAGTCTTTGCAGGTGTTCAGCGTCGTTGTGAATAGCAGATGTGCGTCTGCCTCCGTGAAGTCGACAACAATGTCCTCGGATTACAACATAAGGCACTGCGGCTTAATCTGGTGTTTCACAGCAAAGTATAATGGACAGGGTATTTGATTTGTGGTTATTGGGTCCTTTGTGGGAAAAGGTGGGAGGTTGAGGGCGTGAGGACTGAATTCATTTGAGTGCCTGCGTTCCGTTGAGTTGCGGCCAGTCGTGGCACTCTTTTAGGGGTTGGCGGCTTGTCTCTTTTGTTTACTTCCCACCGCAGCACGTGGATAACACTGATCCGAGGAACATTTGTTTGACCGCGTGTGGGCTGCTGCCGTGCGTGGTGCATGGACTATGTGATTGTGTGGGGAGGTGCGTTGGGGTGACGAACACTTCTGTTTGGCGTGTCGCGGTGTGTCGGAATGATGTTCGGATGACATGTGGAGGGTGTTGTTTGTGATTTGTGTGTCTTCTCTGGTGGAGCCGACATGTGTGCGGGATTGTGGCATTGCTGACAGCTCCACGTCACTTTTCGGCATTCCTGGATGTGCTGAGGAATGACGGCTGGCGACCAGCGTGTTGGTGCTGCTGGTGGGAATAAGTGCATCGGGAATAGTCCGTTTTCTCTTTCCCGTGCTGGAGCCGATGAACTGGCACGAGGGCACCGGCTGCAGGCTGCCTGCCAGCACGTGTGAGCAGCGGATCCATGCACGCACCGACGCCCATCGCAAGAGCGTGTGCGATGACAGTGGCCTTTTGTGGCGTGCTTTTGTGGGCGTCAGCCCATCGAAGAATGTGTAAAGCAAACGGCTGACTGCACACGAAGAAAATAAGTGCGTGCACTGTGCCGTGTTTCAGCGTTGATGGCAGAGCGACAGGAAGCCCGTGCTGGCAACTGAGATCTTTGCGTCGCGAGGGATGTCGGTGTTGATTTTGGATCGTCGAGGGTGAAGTGGTTTTGCTGCTGCCCGTGTGTGTGGCCACTCCGGCAGAGGGCGGACACAACAGGGAGGGATGCAGGCGCTGCGTGTGTGTGTGTGTGCAGGTGCCATGCAACAACGTCACAGCAAACATGCTGCGACTCGGTGACCCTCACATCGTTGTGGTCCTCACGAACAGCCGAGGCACGGCCCACATCGATGCACTCAGTGGACGGAGTGAGGCATCTTTTGAGGCGCAGCAGGGAACAGGATGTGTTGATGCAGCCACGACGTGCATGGAGTGTCACGATGGCACAGTCAGCTGTGGCTGGTGGAATATTTACTTCTCGGAGGCAACAGAGAGAGAGAGAGCTGCTGCTGGCGTCGTTGCTGCCTTTTGTGGCCTCCCATGCCGATTATTGTCTGTCCGCTGATCATGGGTGGCATGCCTCCACTAGTGACGTCGTCTGCAGGCATTTCCCGGCACCAGTGAAACACACATCACGTCGCATGCCTTGGCTGTGGATGTGGTGTCATGAGTGCAGCCGGCATTATTTTGCCCGACTCCTTTCCACTGCCTTGCGACGAATAGATGCGTCGCCGCCCGAGTCATTCACTGCAGCTCCGTGTGTTGTACTGCCAGCACAAGACTCTCGTGTTGTCTGACGCATGGCTGACAGTCAAACACCACTGCATTTGGGACGTGCAAGGATGTGGACTGCCGCTCACGGTGTTGGGCACCGCTGTTTGGATGCGGCGGCCACACGAGCGGATTTATTGTGGCACAATCGAATGCGTGAAATACGCGGAGTCACAGCGGCTGCAATAATATCAGCGGTGTGGCACCACGGAGTATGTTAGAGGGTGATGCATGATGAATCACAGCGGGCGGCATGCGAGGGAAGTGCACCGCGACGGAGCGTCATCCCGCCCTCAGCCTGCAGGGGAATGTGCACCCACAAAATATATGGCGAGACACCACCAAACACACATGCCCTTCCATGCACCAATAAATAGGGGCGAAGGTGCGTTCTGGTGCGTGGGAGTCCACACACATATTTTCATTTTCACCCCAATAAACGGTGAGGAATCAGGTGTCACAGCAACGAAGGGAAAAACAAACATCTACTGCAACACTTTACCAGCGAAAGGCAGGAACAACACAAACCGAATTATTGGCTGCACCAACACAAGAAACATTCACAAGAGGAAAGAAAAATAATTGTGCACCCTGCAGAAATCCCCAGCACACGACCCAGGCATGAAGGTTTGCCCTCCGCAAAAACAAAACAACACATGCGGACATCCGCCAACATCCAAAAAGAAACACAAATAAATGGTTGCTTGCAGTATGCCATTCCTTGCGCTTATTTTTGAGTGTGCGGCTGCGGTGGTGACCAGGCCTGCATGAAGTGGTGTGCACTGAATGTGAACGAGGGCCAAAGGCAACTGAACTGTTTTTGTGATGAATATTGGCTGCACTTCCCGTGGACCAACAATCCACGTGTTGCGCGGGGATCTCCTTTTTAATTGTTACTTTGCTTTTGTGTTGCTGTGTGCGCTGCACCTCCTCTTGTGTGTGTGCATACCCTCCGTGAGGGGTGCCAACCCGACGGACCGCTCTCGCCGTATGTGCATGCGGTGGAGCCTTATGTGTCACTCCTGTTTGCTTCTCCCTCCTCCATCTGTGTGTTGTTGCTGCGGCAGGGCTGTGTGTGTGTGTCTGCTGCCGTGGATTGTAGTGTGTGTCGTGCGTGGTGTGCGGCGTACGGTGCATGCCTGGCTGCTGCCCTCTCCTCATGTGGTGTGCCCTCTGTGTGTGTGTCTGCCGCACCTCTCGTCCCCCTGTTGCTCTCCATGTCCCTCACTGTGCAGCTCAGCTCCACACCACCGAACGACCACACTCACGATGATGATGTGCCGTCTGCTGTGCACCCTGCTGGTGCTCGCCCTGTGTTGCTGCCCGTCCGTGTGCGCGGCAGGCACTCAGGAGGCTGTTCATGAACCTTCGAAGAACACGACGACGAACACGAAATCACAGGCAACCAAAATAACACAACCAAAAGCAGGAGAGCAGTCCTCCACTGAACAGGGCACAGAAGGTAGTCCAGACACAGAGGAGGTCACAACCGGAAAAGAGAACGTGCAGAATACCGTGGAGACGGGAATTCCTTCCAGGTCGTCGTCTGCCGCCAGCAAGCCGCCCGTACAACAACCAACGCCACTATTAGCACCATCACCGGCAGCACCATCACCAGAACGATCAGCACCAGCACCATCAGAAGAAAAATCAACAGCACCGAGTTTTTCAGCAGGAGAAGGAAGCCGTAGAGCACCAAACGTCGCACAGAACTCAAAGGAAGAAAAGAATGAAAAATTGCCGTCAGAAACCGAAACGGAGTCCAAAGCGGTGGAACAGCCTTCAGGGAATGATGTGGCAGAGCAAGACAGTCCAGCGCGAACAACAGCATCACCCATTCCCGCAAGTGGCGGTGCCGATGACCAGAGAAATGAGGACGCGGATAATAGCAATGCTCGAGTGCTTAAATCCGAAGGAACACATGAGAACTCCGAAACTGGTTATATAAACCTTGCTTCTACAGCCGGTGATGCAGCAACACAGACAGAAAAAGCACCCGCCGACGCCAAAACAAACGATACGGCGACACGTGGCGACAGTGACGGCAGCACCGCGGTCTCCCACACCACCTCCCCTCTTTTGCTTCTTCTTCTTGTTGTTGCGTGTGCGGCTGCTGCTGCGGTGGTGGCCGCGTGAGAGTGAGGGAGGGAGAGAGCCGTGCACCGCCCGCACACACACTCGTCCTTCTCTCTCTGTGTGTGTCTCCCCTTGCATGGACTCTCGCCCTCACCTCACCCCACGAGGCACACACATGATGTGCCCATTGTATATATGCATGCACACCCATGCAGGCCCGTTGGTGCTCTCTTTTGCACGACACGCACCGCTGCCGTCCTGCCTGGCTGCATGGGCGGAGCACCGTAACTGTTTCTGTTTTGTTTTCATTGCATTGAGTGGGCGACCTTTCTCTCTCTCCCTGTGTGTGTGTTTTGCTTTACGGGAGCAATGAGAGTGTGTGCGCTGGTCGTCCCACGCTTCGGCTTTTTGTTTTATTGTTTGTGGTTGAGTGCACCCATTACCCCTTTTTTTATCGACTATTGTTTTTTTTTGGATTGTTGGTTTGCTTTGACTGCGAACGTATGATTCTCTATTTTTGTATTTTTTCTTTTCTCTGAGATATTGTCGGTGTTTCTTATTCCTGTCAAGCCATGAAGTATTTTCTGTTACGCCGTGCGTCAGTTGATCCACGTCGCCTCACGGTTTGCAGTGCTGCCGGTGCTTCTGGTTGTGATGATGTTTGTGATGTGTTGTGCCGGCGGGTGCTTTGCTGCCAGCCTGACGTACTCCTGCTCCTCTGACAAAACGATGCGTGCCGACAGGGCGAAGTCGATCCCGGCTGTGGTGAGGGACGTGCCTCTTGGATCTGAGGGTGCGTCGCAGACATGCACCGTCATTGGGAGGAATGGATGGGCGCCCACCCGCATCAATGTGTCGACAAGGGACCTGGATGGCACCAGGAAGTATTGCAGCTCAGAGCGGTATTGCGCAATGAATTCATTGGTGGCAATTGCGAGTGTGAAGGTGACGTTTTTCTATGCTGAGAAAAGGGAAGTATTTGTTTCGTTATATTTTGCCGCCACTGTTCGTTAATGGCCTGCGGGCTGTCCGTAGCGATGTGGCCAGTTTTTCCTTCTTGAACGGTGCTGTCGTGCGAGAGGGTGTTTTTCCAAATAGTCGGATGCTCAGTTGTCGAGGACGGATGCATTCCCACAGCGTGTGCGGCAGGGCCTCCCGTGGATTGTCGGCGCTCAGCGGCTGGTGGGGTTGCAGCAGAGGAGTGGCTGAAGGGCTACGGCTGTCATTGGAGCTTGCAGAGGTGCGTTGTCCGTTTTTTTTTTTTTATAGGAGCTTGTGAAAAGAATGATCGCGGGAGAGCTGGCTAACTTAATTAATGTATGTATATATCCTGATAAATGAATGCATTCTTTATGATACTTTCTACCGTATGAATCTTTTGGAAAGAACGCGACTTTGTAGGGGCAGGGAACTGATAGAGGCCGGATAAATTTTTAATTTTATTTTTTACAGACACAGCCAGGTAAGTTTAAGGAAATGACTTTGGTTCCCTACACACCCTCCGAGTGGTGTGATATTGGCGCCCGTCTCTGGGACATGGTGTCCCAATGTGGCGAGACCCAGGTGCAGATGACGTTTATTAATGGTAACCAGATGTCGGATGAGACGTTGACCGTGGCCCCATCATCCACAGGCTTATGCTTGTTCCATGGACCTGTCTCTAAAGCTTGGCAGGATTCTACTCTCATTGGACATATTGCGAATCTCCGGGCGCCTCGGATCCCTAATTTTGAGACACAAGCGCTCCTGCCCGCTATGGGGGCAGCCCGGGAGTTGGGGCACCAACAAGGGCTCATCACTGCTGAAAGGGAACGCCTGAATATTGATTACGCGAACGCCGTTGCGGACGTGCAGAATCGAAATGCTCAGCTTAACTCGCAGTTTCAGAAGGCGCATCACAACCTATCGGTAAGGGAATCCACTATCGCCGGGGCCGGCAACCAGGTCCTAGAACTACGACAGCAGTTGGAGGCCGATCGCGCCCAATTACGGGAGCGCGAATTCAACTTGGGAGTCCTCACTGGTCAACTCCAGGAACGGGAGGCACGCCTTAACGCACTACAAACCGCGCGGGATGCGGAGACGGCGGGGCGGGACGAGTCTCCCGCTACTTAACACGTTGCCAACGATGGCGTAACTACACTACCGCATCAAACGGATATCTTGATGGCTGGTGGCGTGCCTAGCAGCGCGGCCCGACGCAGTTCGGCGGCTTAAAGACTCCCTCATGGTAATGCTGCGAGACCACATTTCCACCCTTCCACGCCGTTGCCCTCCCGCACTTCTCCCCTGGACGCCCGATTACCGGCGGAAGAGGACCGCAGTTTCTGCGCATTCGACGTCACTACGTGGCCCTCGCGTGTATGGAATGAGGGCGCCTCCGGAGTCATTATCGACCTCCGGTGCGCATACCAATGCTGACAACAGGACAAAGAGCAGGTTAAACTTGCCTTTGACAATTTGGTCGAGTGGATCAGCGCGCTGGAAGTCCTGCAGGATCCCACCGATCGAATCATGAATTTGGGGAGGTCCCTACTGAATACATTCCGGATGCAGCTCACAATTGCATCCGATCCCGGCATCCGGCTTTCCAAACTGCGCGCCCGTTTTTACACCGCTGTTCACCATACGGACGCTTATGCGAGGGCAGCCCAGCTTTTCGTCGATCGGCGAGAAACCCAACGCACTTTGCGATGCCAACGTTGTCATATCTTTGGACACGAGGCATCTACATGCAATGTGCGTCCGAGAGGGAATTACTCACAATACAGGCGTCCATCAAAAAACGGCCGAGGGGCTGCCGCACGCCGCTCATGAATGCTGACGACGGGAGCCCCATCCATTCCGCCACTTCCCACCAACCCTCAAAGGCAGCGCACCGCGCCGCCGATGCTCCACCTGATCTTTCAAATTGCCCGACGCAATTGTTGAGAAGGGCGATGGAGCTTATCCGTAAACGACGCTCGAATGTGGTACGACGAATTACCGACATCCCCGCTTTGGGCCAGTTATATGAGGAAAGCGAACGAGGTCGCTCGAGAGATGTGCGCGCCGTCAACGTGGGGGCGTGGAATATCCCTCGCGGGGCAATTCACGACCTTTTGCCGCACGCACGAACAGCCGATGAACGAGGAGAGCTGTGCGGCCTTTTTGATGGCAATCGATGTGGCGCCTTCGAACCAATTGCGGTACGCCAGGATGCTGCGGTCCATGTTGGAAATGAATGGAACCCCGCTGGGCATGGCGATTCTGGGGTTACAAAAAATTGCGGCACGATCGGAGACGAAGCAAGCGCGCCCCTTAACAAAAGAAGAGATGAATCAAGTAATCCGCAGTCGGACCGATTGGAAGGAACGTGTTGTTTTTCGACTTGCGTGTATAACGGCGAGTCGTTGGTCCGAGATTGCGGTCTTGACTCCCAACAATTTCACAATGGAGGCGGACGGGGCCTTAATTTTGTATTGGCCCGTGGCGCCGAAGATGGCGACGACGGATCCCCACCGCGCCTCGCGGTTCGTGAGGACACGAGGGCAGGACGCTTTCGACACTATAAAGCTATGCAGGACACTTCAAGAGAAGGAAAAGCTCACGAATATTACTAATGTCAAAGTCGAACGAGCTCTGGCTCCTTGGAATGCCACGACGCATTCCATAAAACGCGGTGCGCTGCGGCACGCTGCTCAAATCGTGGAGGCACTCAATTTGAATCCACACGTGATCTCGCAGTTGGCGAAGCACGTCGACCCGTTCGACCTTCCCCAGAATACTGTTCGATATTTGTGGAGGTACACCACACTGCTGACCCAGGTGGCGTCGCTGGTCGCATTGATGTGAAGGGAGAAACGGCGGAAGGGCAAGAACCCTGTTTGAGAGCGGAGGAACGTTTTTTCCATGATTTTTATCACAATCATGCTGCTACAATAACGAGACGCGTGACAAGGACGCGTCTGGCCACTCCACAAGATGAACACGTTATCCCGTTACAGCAGGTCAACGTGACCGTGTTGAATCCAGAGTGGATCAAAAGTCGGTTGAATCCGGCCGCCCTGGAGAGTCTCATGCAAGTTTGGGGACTCGTCGGGCGGTCCCCTTTCCCTCCGTCTTCCTCCGGTGAAGCGCGCGAAGGCTCACGGAGAATTCCAACCGCTGACGCGCGATTGTTACGAAAAGCAGGAATAATCGAGGACGCTTCGTCTACAATAACAGGCGGATGGATAATACCTTTCTCGGTTGTGGAGGAGAAAACCACCGGTTTGCGACGACGATGGATCGCGTGGCCACGCGACAAGAACAGAGACGACCCTTACGAGGCTAATGCACCTCTTTTACACATTTCCCGTTATCTGCCGCCCGTGATGGCTGAGGCCGCTTCCTGCCTGAACTTAAAGGCATCCTTTTTTTTAAGTCTCTTTACCGCGGGAGACTCGGCATCTCTTTTGATGCCGCGTGGAGGACGGCACGCTGGTGGAGCTCACACGGCTCCCTATGGGATACAAGGCCAGCCCAGAAATTCTCCAGATTATTACTTCGGCGATTGCGGGGGTGACGACGGTGGTTCACCCCCTCCGGGCCGCACCTCCATCGGTGCGTGTCGACGTTTGGATCGATAATATACGCATTGCAGGGTTGAAAAGCGATGCGACATTGTGGGAAGCCCAAGTGCTTCGTAATGCGGACAGTTGTCACGCATCCTTGGGGAGGAACGCGAATCGGGCGCCACGCAGTACACCTTCCTGGGGGTGCAGTTTGATCACACTCACCGGGCGGTATCCCTGAGTGAGAAATTTGTCCGCTCTGTGCGCGCCATGCCGGCGCTCAATTCTTTAACCATCGCGGAAATGGAAGTTGTGGCGTCACGTTTTTTTGTACGCGGCTGCCATTTTGTGCACGCGTTTATGCGACCACTACTTTTTTATCAGGGCAGTGCGACGACGATTATCCGCACTTAACCGGGGGATTGTGCGGGAGACATCCCCGGCGAACCTACCGCCGTCAGCGGTTGGTTTGGGCGAGAGATTACGGCACATGATCGGGAATAATCGTAAGCGAATCATCAAGCCCACGGAAAGGCATCGGCCGCCATCATCACGGATGCATCGCTCCATGGTTGGGGAGCCGTTTTTATTCTCCAGACTCCGGCGAAGTTAAAATTGCCGGAGGGAAATGGGAGAGGAAACCTTTTCTTATCATGCAGGCCGAGGCACGAGCGGTACGCTTGGCCTTATCGGCCTTTTCCGCCATCTTGCCATCCACCATGGACGTTTGGGCGCACAGCACTTCGCTGCGAGGAGCGGTGAATAAAGGCAGCTCTAAATCACACGCCATGACGTGGGAGCTGCAACGGATATACGAGTTTTTGGACTCTCGCGGAGTGCAGGCAAATTTTGCCTACGCACGGTCTTCGGAAAACCCCGCAGACGGCATATCACGCGGTCGTGTTTTTACACTTCGGAACTTGGCGAAGGGGAGCGGCGAGGTCTTGTGGTTGGAGGACCCCAAAGTCTCCCACTTCGTAAGTAATAATATTTCAAATCCTAACTGAGGACAAAGGACCATGCTAATGGTCCACAGAATTCTATATATTGAATGGAAATAAAACATTGAAGCAATTAACTAACGAACCTTTTTTCCTAACTTGTTTGGTTCCATAGAGTTTCAGGATCCGGCCAGCTGCCCGGAAGATTATTCTCGTTGATACGCTTGGCATTTTCGGTGGTGACCTGCGCGTGAGGCACTTGTTGGGAGACCGTGGAGCTGTCGCAGAATCCACATGTGAGGCCTTCTGCAACGATTGGAGTGCCAGGGTTAGTGCATCGGGCGTGTGCCTTCATATTGTGGACGGACGAGAAGACGCTGCCACCGATTGGGCAGGGCGACGTTGATCCGCTGCTCGTCATCCTACGAGGAGGTGCCGTGGACACGCCAGGTGGAGGTTCCGGAGGAGGTCGGGGTAGTCCTGCCTCTTCAGTGTGAGAGGGCGGCACCACCGACATAATGGGTTGCTTGTGATCCGCAGGGCGCGTGCCAGTCTGCCGAGGAGTGGGCAGGAGGACGTCAATCAGCCGCTTTCTGCTCGGCAAGGAGTGGCGGTGCTCACGTCGGGAAGAGGTCACGGCGGAGGCAGAGCACAGACGCGGTCCCAACAGCACCGCAGCACAGCCGATCCCAGAGGGCAGGGACGTGGCGCCGCCATGCCTCGGGGCATCACAGGCCTTGGGATCGAGAGAGCACCAAGCTGTTTCGCACGGACCTCTAGCAGCATGGAGAAGCCACCGCGAAGGGCATGATTGCGGTCCTCCCGTTTGCGGAGCAATTCAGCTCGTGGCAGGCTGCCGCCGCAACACACTCGGCCTGCTCCATTCAGTCCGTCCAGATACATGTGGGAATGTCACGGCTGCCGCTCGTACGGTGCCGCGGTGCATCTCCAACCATGTGATTACAGCGGCCAGAGGTGTTCCACACGCCGAGGTGGAAGCATCACAGTCAGCTGCACGCAGGGAAATGGCGACATGTTTCCGTCGTGGCAGCATGCCTGCCTGTCGCAGGATGCCGTCCTCCGTCCCTGCAGTGTGGGATGGTAGATGGTGGTCCGAGTCCATGTAAAGTGGTGGACGTTTAGTGGGAGACACGCAGTACGCGTTGCGCAGTCACGTCGGGAAACGAAACGCTGCGGCCGCTGATCCACGTTGCCTGCGCCGGGTCGTCGGACAGCCCAATCTCCATGCCGGTTGGGGTGGCGGCGAGGTCCTCTCCTGCCGTCGTGGATGGTGAGCAACCGTCCCGCAGCTCATGATGTGAATTCAGGTCGCAAATAACCGCTGCAGGACCAAGGCGACGAATGGTGCTCGTAAAGTGAGCAGCGTGGGCAATTGCCGTGGAAGTTTGCAGAGGTTCACCACGTACATGCTGGGGCAGGCCGGTGGGTACACGCGGAAGGCATTGGTCTCCAGGCAGTTGGTGCCAAGAGCTACAGGTGCTCGCACGGCAAGGTGTGGCGCACCAAGAAGGCCACGCCACTGGCACGCCCACTGCAGGCCTGGTGGAAGTCACCGCAGCCAGTGAGCCTCGTCGCTGGGGCACTCTCGTGCCTGCACTCCTGCAGAAGAACCATGCCGGGATGGTGCTGCGCCAGTCGAGCAGCAGGGGCAATCCTGAGGGGCGAAGGGCCTGAAGTTCTGAGCTGCCAGATAACCACAAGGCCATCCTCATCGGGGCTGCGGCTCTTACGGACACCACCGCAGCGGGTGACGCCGACGGAGTGACCGCAATGAAACGACCATGCGGTTCTGTCAGTCGGGCTGCAGGCAAACCGCCTCGCCGCTCCACAACCAACAGAGCGTGGCACCTTCTCGAGGGTGACGCCGTCGTGGTCCCCATCACGCTCGCAGCAATGCCCTGCCGCAATCACTCCCACAGAGAGACAAGGAAGTCTGTGTGGATTTGTGCCGAGAGCACAGCGACTGTCATCGTCAGAGGAGGCCATCGTGGCACCGTCCGTCATGCGTCATCACACACCGAGCAACGCACGAACCCAGCACAGTAAATACAACAAGGAGAAAAGAATGGTCCCAAGAGCAGGCAACACCTTCACGCATGGCGGGCATCGTGCAGCCGTGTTGCCATTTCAGCACGGGACGCAAGCCCACGCCCCGCCGTCGCCAAACATTACTGCAGAGCACTGTGCAAACACTTATTTTCTGTGTGCTGGAAAAGCAGAAAGAGGAGCACAGGGAGGGACGTCAACTCGGTAAGAGGCACAGCTGGATGACAGCGATACATGCGGTACGTCCCCAACCTCAACAATCACACACGGTGGCAGCACACACCCATCGAATAAAAAAAAAAAAGAAAGAAAACAAAAAACACGGCGGCAGGGTGTGGCTGTGTGTGTGGCGCTGCGGGTGTCTGCCCGCCCTGGCCGCAAGAAAACAAAACAGGAGGGAAAGAAATGTGTGCGCCGCCCCACAGGCCCTCGTCGCACGCCCACACGTCACGGCTCCCTCAGCGCGCCGTTCGTCGCGGCCCCTCCTCATGCGTGCAGCAGGCGAGGCGCACAGGGCCGTCGTCATGAGCGTGTCGGTGGGTGTGCGAGTGGAGCAGTTGGGCGGGAAACACACGGCACCCCTCACAGGAGGAGTGCAGCAGAAACAATTAAAAGAGGGAAGAGTAGAAAAGAAAAAACATACACGGTGATTCCCCTCGAAAGCAAAAAAAAAAGCAAAGAAAGAGTAGCAAAAAAATTTAAAGCAAACCGAAAAAAAAATTAAATTTACCAGTAAAACAATAAAAAAAAAGCGTGGGACGACCAGCGCACACACACTCTCATTGCTCCCGTAAAGCAAAACACACACACAGAGGGAGAGAGAGAGAGGTCGCCCACTCAATGCAATAAAAACAAAACAGAAACAGTTACGGTGCTCCGCCCATGCAGCCAGGCAGGACGGCAGCGGTGCGTGTCGTGCAAAAGAGAGCACCAACGGGCCTGCATGGGTGTGCATGCATATATACAATGGGCACATTATTGTGTGTGCCTCGTGGCGTGAGGTGAGGGCGAGAGTCCATGCAAGGGGACACACACAGTGAGAGAAGGACGAGTGTGTGTGCGGGCGGTGCACGGCTCTCTCTCCCTCACTCTCACGCGGCCACCACCGCCGCAGCAGCCGCACACGCAACAACAAGAAGAAGCAAAAGAGGGGAGGTGGTGTGGGAGACTGCGGTGCTGCCGTCACTGTCGCCTGCTGCTGCCGTGTTGTTCAGGTTAAGGCCTTTGGCTGCAACGGTTTGTTTTTCGTTTGGCTCTTCTTTCTCTTTGGCTTCTGCTTTCTCCACTTCCTCCACGTTGTTTTCATTTTCTTGCCTTGTTTTCTCTGCCTCATTGTGGTCATTGTCCTTTACGGCTGTTTGCCTTCCGTCAACATTTTCATTTGTTGTTGCTTTTCCTGAATCTTCCTCTTCTTTTGGTACCTCTTCTCTGTTGTGTGCCTCCCTTTCTGCGGCAGGTGTTTCTGGATTTGATTTTGCTCCAATGGTTGTCTGTTCTTTTCCTGCATCTTCTCGTTGCGTCTTTTTTCCCGGGTTTTTTGTTTCTGTTTCGACTGCATCTTCTTCGGTACTTAATTCTGCTGCTAATTTCTCTGCTTTTGATGGTCGTGCTGCTTCTTGCGTTTGCGTTCTCTCGGCGTCTCGTTCTCCCCCATTGCCGTCATCATTCTTTTTCTCAATACTTTGACGGTCCGTAGCGTCAACAGGGGAAGGAGGCTGAAGAACTACAGTTGCGTCAGGGGTGTACCGTCGGCACCACCACCCCCATTCACTTCTTTTCCTTTTTTACTGCTTACTGCATCTCCTTCCTTCTCTCCTTCACCGTCCTTGTGATCTGGGCCAAGAGCTGAATCTTCAGTGTCTTCATCACCTTTCCCGGGATCGTCCTGTTTATTCTCTTCAGCCCTTTGCTTTTCTTTCTCTTCCAATTCTTTTTGTGGTTCTTTTTCTTCTTTGGGTTCTACGACTTCTTCTTGAACTTGCGGCGTGACTCCGTTATTTTCTTCCCGACCTCCATTTGAATTGCCGGTGGCTGCATTGCCAACTTGGTTTTCACCATTGGTACTGTCAGGGCCTTTCGTCTCTACAGTCGGATTTTCCTCTTTTTCTTCTTCCTTTGATTTCCCTCCACTTTCGCCTTTCGTCGTCTCAAGAGACCCTGCGGGTTTCGGTGGATTCTCTCCTGATTTTGCATCTGCTTGTCCTGGCTCTGGAACGAGCAGTGATTGCACTTGTGACTCTGCCCGCGAACCAGCAGCATTCACTGACTGATCCTCTGGGGAAGATCCGGAATTTATGTCAACCTCACTAGAAACACCATCAGTAGCAGCAACGGCAAACTGTTGACGCCTCCAACGGCTACGGCCATACACAACGGCACGCACACCGTCCATCCCCCGACGCATGCATTCCTCCACGGCGGACGCATTCGCACCGACTCCTGTCCTCCTGCCAACCTTCTCCACGCATTCCCTCCGCATCTGAGCGTGCTGTCCCGCGAAGGAATACTCAACCGCACTGCCATCGGCACCATCGGCCGCAATTCCAAATACACCGCACCACAGCACGCAGAGGGCACACACCAGCAGCACACGGCCAGTCATCATCATCGCCATCACTCCTGTCACTTGCGTGCAGCCTTCAGCAAAAACTAACAACACGTCAACGCAGAGCGGAAGCAAAAGGAAAGACAAGTCACGCAGCCACGCACAGCAGTAACAAACGATAGCAGCTTGCGCAGCAGCAGAGCACACACCATGAGGAAGTTGGAATCAGGAAAAGAAAAACAAAAACACACAACGCCCCGCAGTAATTGATCAGCAAGAAAACACACAAAACAATTAGAAAAACACAAAAAAGCAACAAGAATTTAATAAAATGAGCTGCACAGTATGGTTCCAGTGTGCATGCATCCACACGCAAACATGTGATTCCACGCAAAAATTGTATGCGTTTATTACATGTGAGTGTGTCTGGGATGCGTTCAACGTGAAGAATACAGTTAGAAGCAAAAAGGAGCACACAGCAGGGCAGCGGAAGCAAGTGAAGCAAAACACAATCATTATTTTCTCTTATTTATTTGCATCGGACCACACTGGAGGCACAAGTCCCCGTGGCTGAGTGCTGGCACGCACAGCCCGCACACACCTCTTCAGCCCAGAGTGGTGTACGCCAGCGCGGATACGGCGAGCAGCAGCGGGGCACACACCCACGCAGAGCTGCTGAGGCTGCCGTCGATTTCGCGAAGACGTGACGGTGCGCGGGTGGTCGTCGTCGTTGGTGACTGTGTTGTAGTTGTAGTACTGGTGGTAGTCGTCGTCGTGGTACTTGGTGCCTCTGGCGCAGTGGTGGTCGTGGTGGTGGTTGTAGTGATGTTTGATGCCAGTGTTGTAGTCGTACTGGTCGTTGTAGTTGGCACATTTGTTTTGTCTGTGGATGTATTCTTGTCAGTTTCTGTCCCTGTCGTACCGTTCTTACCCTTTTTCTGTACCGTATCGTCCGCCTCATCTGATTTTGGCAACTTATAGGTCGAACGTTTTCCCTCTCTGGTAGTTGTTCCCTGTTCCTCTCCAGGCTCCTTAACTGGCAACCCTGACGGAACGGTTTCCTCATGTGGTGACACTGCTACAGTGGCCAATTGATCGGCGCGTCTTCCACCATCTTCATCCTCAGGAACGTCAGCGGATTCAGTATCAGTATCTGCCACGCCCACCGATGGGCAGCAGCACAGGGCGAGCACCAACAGGGCGCACAGCAGACGGCACGTCATCATCATCGTGAGTGTGGTCGTTCAGTGGTGTGGAGCTGATCTGCACAGTGAGGGACATGGAGAGCAACAGGGGAGACGAGAGGTGCGGCAGACACACACAGAGGGCACACCACATGAGGAGAGGGCAGCAGCCAGGCATGCACCGTACGCCGCACACCACGCACGACACACACTCCAATCCACGGCAGCAGGCACACACACAGCCCTGCCGCAACACCAACACACAGATGGAGGAGGGAGAAGAAAACAGGAGCGGCACACAAGGATCCACCGCATGCACACACGGCGAGAGCGGTCCGTCGTGTTGGCACCCCTCACGGAGGGTGCGCACACACACAAGGAGGTGCAGCGCACACAGCAACACAACAGCAAAGCAACAATAAAAAAAGGAGATCCCCGCACACCACGTGGATTGTTGGTCCACGGGAAGTGCAGCCAATATTCGTCACAAAAACAATTCAGTTGCCTTCGGCCTTCGTTCATATTCAGAGCACACCACTTCATGCAGGTCTGGGCACCGCAGCAGCAGCCGCACACGCAACAAAAAGAAGCAAAAGAGGGGAGGTGGTGTGGGAGACCGCGGTGGTGCTGTCGCTGTCGGCGGTGGCCGTTGTTCCTTTTCATTTTTGGTGAATGATGTTGTTGTGAATACTTCCGGTTGTTTGGCTGCAAATGATGTTGAAAGACAACTGGTGTCCTGACACTCTGTCAATGCCTTCCCTGTCCCGTCGATTTCTGTGCTCGCCGCTGGAGTAGGCGAGACGCTGACAGGGCTGCCAGCACCATCTGACTGAACTTTGTCTGCCGTGTTCTCGTCCCCAGTCCCACTGCACCAGCTGCTGGGGCGGTGCAGCAGTAATGCAAGAAGCACCAGCAATGGGCTGGGGTGCCGGCCGCATCAATCAATGGGTGTGTCCGCAATCGATAGGAACGTGCATCGACAGGGACTTCTGCACCGACGCTCAGGAATGGGGGAACAGTGGCGACAAACAGAACAGTGCGTGTCACCCCGGAAAATCCGCAAGGCGTATTGGCGCGGGCTGTGTTTTGGTCTCACGGCGACGGAAATGAATGACGACGCGAGTGACTTCGTCGTCGTGCGTCTCCTCCTGCCATTCCTCGCGGTAAACCCATTGCCTGAGTGCATTTGATTCCGCCTGAGGAGCCAATTAAAAATGTTCTTCCGGTAGATGTATTGTACTCGCATGTGGCCACGGCCGCCCGCAATGCCTCCAGCGGATACACCTGCGATGCACGGTCAACGCAATCCACATCCACTCGTCGTGCATCATCCAACACCATCTTTTCCTTGGAGCTACGAACAACACCGGGCACACACTCCTTTTCGGCCGTCCACGACATGCGCCTGCAGTGAGGATCCGGAGAACGTTCCCATTCCTTTTGTGCACAAAGTCATGGAGCTGCCGCCGTTAAGCGCGTCCCGGCAAGGGCAACAACAGCCCGCCGCAGCACTCACGAATGCCCACCCGTTGCCTCCTGTGCAAAAAAAAAATAAACATTGGAGGGAAAACCGTGCACAAATGCACTGGCAAGAAAGGTCAGCACCAGTGGATGAACACTGAAGCCGTGGGTGCATGCTCCACAAATGTCCTTCCTTTTTTATTCGCCTTCTTAGTTGCATGGAAATGACTTGCAACCGCACACGCAAAAAAAAAAAAAAGCAAAAGGCAAGCAGCGCGGCCGTTGAAACACACACGCGCATCGTATGAAACGCTTCTTGGAGAGGAAGGGAATGCAGACACAAGCGCACACAATTCCAATGGACACCCGCAATCGTGTGTGTTGCGTCTGTTCCACTCTTTGGCCCTCGATGCATTCCTTTGCGTGTCTTGTCCCTGAGTCCCAGTGCCGTAGGATGCCAATTCCCTGCACAAACACACCTCAGGACGCGGCAGCGAGGCTCTCCAATGACCACCTCACGGCCATACCTTTTGGATATCTCATGGACCGAGCGCCTCTCGCTGCAGGCCACACCACACAAAACAAGCAGCACAATGCGCTGAGGAGTTGTGAGGGCAATCGTCCCACCACCGCCACCCAGATCAGGATGATTCTCCTCTTTGCCACCACACCCTTGAAATATCCCGGCGGTTTTTCCTGCTGCTCCACTGTTTTGGCCACCACTCGCGCCATTTGCCCCCATCGCATGATGGCGCTCCATCGATGCCAACGACAGCCCAATCCGCAGCGTCCTATTCCTGTCCGCCGTCTCCATCATCATACAGGCATGCTTCAAAAACGTATCCTCGTCCGTCGCGGCGTTGCCCGCAGAGGCACTCGTGCTCCGTCCGCTCTGCGCCGACGCCGTGCTGTATCGTTGCACGCTCCCGGCCCTCCTCGTCACATGCTCAGGGTTCGCAAACAAATGGGCGTCGGGCGTCAGTCCACCGTCTCGGATCAGCTGCTGCTTCTTGGCCTCCGTCAACTCGTCGGTGCTGCTCGCAGCCACAAGCAACAGGAGGAGACGCAGACGCACTGGCCGGGGCATCGCCGCATCCCTCGTCAGGTGCCGCACGCCATCCAGGTTTTTCCTGAGGGGTTGGTGCCCAACGGCGATTTCTTGTTCCACCTCCCACACCTCCGCCAGTCGCTTCTCCCGGTACTGTGCCACAAGCCTCGCGCAAATATCGATGTGCAGCGACAGTCTGGCTTGCCTCTCCCAAAACTCCGGCGGAGCCCGCACCGCACTGCTCAACTCCGCAAGATTGGCCTTCGGCTCCAAGTCCTGCACCAATCCCGGGTGATACGCGTGGAGGTTTTTCAGCACCGCCGGAAGCTCCTCCACGCACTGCGCAAGGAATCAGTGACGGTACGAGCGCCGGTACACATCTTCCTCACCAATTACTGCCGCTTCGAGTCCTCACCCAGACAATTCCTACAGGTCTGCTCATACAAGTTATTCTGCAGCGGCATCAGGTCATCAAGCAGACACTGAGATGTGTGTTGGTGCATCAGCGGCATCACCGTGACACAGCCCCAATCAACGATGATCCGCACCGGGTTGCCGCGGCTGTCGGCGCCCCTAAGTGAAATCCGGCTCGTCGTGGTATTGCCTGGCAAGCCCTCAAAAAAGGTCCCGGCAAGCCCATGGCAGATGCTGCCTCTGTTTTGTTGGCGAATGGCAGGCACACCGTTGTTCATGGCGTGAATAGCCGCCACAGGACGTGACGCCGCAACATCCAAAACGGACCATCAATTCGGAGGCGACAGTGGCGACAGCAGATGAAAGAACCCATTCTGCATGCTGAGGTGGAACACCAGCACCTCAGGGGCGGCGAAGTCTAACATAATGTCCTTGGAACGCATCGCTATCGGCGCTATCCGAGCCCGCGGGAGTTGCTGAAGGCGACGATGCGGGGTGCACCCCAGCGCAAAGATGTGTACATCCCTGTGCAGGACCTTTGCCATCCAATCCTCAACCACGCGGCTCACAGACGCATCCTCCACGGCAAAAAAGTAGGGTGCAGGGCTACTCATAATCGGCTGCCGCGGCGTCATGGGGTCCTCAAGCAGTGTCACGCCGTGCTCCATGAGATCATGAAGACGCAGTGAGCAGCTCAGCGCAGACGCAGCATGGCATCGCAGAAAAAAACTTTAAACGATCCATGAACGGCGTCAAGCATCTGGTGGAATATATAATCCCGCGCACAACCACAAACGCCATTGCTGGGCTCACGCGGCTGCCCTTCTTCCGTCGGCCTTGACCGCACCAACCCGCCCCGCATAATATGTCAAGCACAAGTCACACAGACAATGTGCTTCGACATGCATGTGTTTCTTGTGTGCGCACATTCCACTCGCACTGGTGTATGTATGTGCGTCTCAGAAAATCTAACAAACACACAAGCAATGCCATAAGACCATACGGTGGCCCACATCGGCAACCAACACGGGAGGAGCTATGTGCGTCGGAAGTACAACCAATCTCAAATAAAAAGTCAAACGGAGCGGACACAGCACATGCATATGGAGAAAGGGACCCAATGAAATAGATGTTTTTCTATTGGGCATCCAATGATGAGTACAGGCCACGCAGGAGGAAGCGCAGTCGCCTCGCAGCGCAACGCCGTCCACACCGCAACTCGATGGAGTGTTGCCACGGCGGCAGTAGAGGCAAGCAGAAGAAGCAGCGGACAGGGACAAGCAGCAACAGTGTCATCACCGAGAGTCGGAGGCGAGGCCTGCATGCCTTCCGTCTCGCTGCTTCGGTCCCTGCCGCCGAGAGAAGCTTCTTGCGGTCTGTCGGGGCATCCTGGCCGGATCCACTTCTCCTCTGTCGACGGATGCTTCTGGGGAATAGCCGTGACAACATCCTTCGGTGGTGTGCCGCGGCAGGTCCCAATGCTCTCTGCATCGGGGACGGATGCCCCTGGCAAAAGTTCAGTAGATGCCGGTGAGACCGTCCCGCTCCACACGCTCTCTCCTCGCCGTCCCACGGAACCACTGGAAGCAGCCTGCCGCTGTTGGCGGATATCGTGCACACCTGCGCGTGGTCACGGCAAATACCGTTTCCATCATCGTACGGTCGAGTGGTCCACGCAATCGTCGCTCCGTCCGTGCATGGGGCGCAACGGACGTTACCCTTTTCAGTCACTTCCAGATGCAACTGCATGCCGAGACACCTCAATGCCGCATGCGTGGCAGCACTGAGATGTGTTTCCTTCGGGTCCCTCGCATCCATCGTCGTGTTGGGAAGCGTGTCCGGACACCACGAAGAGGGCTCATCCCCAGGCACCGCAGAAAAATATTCTCCCCTCCAAATAACAGCGTCAACATCCCCCACATCCAGTGCGGGATCAGTAATGGGGCAACGGCCCATCGGGCGTTTGGCTGACATCTCATGGATACTCCCAAATACCAACCGTTGGAATAACGATCTGACGCGCTGCGTCTGGCAGAAAACGCCCAATTCGCGGAGCATGTGGAAATATTCACTCATTTTCGGTGCGGAGCACTTTCTCTGCAGCAGCCGGCACAACCAATCGGTGCCATCCACTCATCCTTCGCGTGGCGCTGCGACCAGTGCGACTCCAGCGTCCTCCCGTCCCCATCGTCATCCTGCAGCTCCATGCCATCAGTGTCGCCGCAGTCGTGGTGCTCCCTCGCAGGCATCGCGGCAGTCGTCGAGTCCATCACCACCGACAGCGCCCTGCCACGCACACCGGCAACATTCCTCACCATGCTGCGGCTGGCCATGTGCGGGCAGGCAAACCCACGAGCATGGGCCAACAAGTGCGCGGCGATGCGGGTGGCGATGCGTCCGTGAAATAAAACGGCCGGGAAAAGTGCATGGCGCCAGCGACGGGACGGCCATCCTCCAGCGTGGCGAAAAGCAGTGCCCACACACCACCCGACGCTGCAGCTACGCACTGCACCATAACAGAATCGGCAACACCAGTGGAACAATGCCCATCAGTCACCGTGAACCAACTGCAAACGCTACTCGTGGCAAATGGGGGCACAACCAACGGAGCCTCCAGTGGCCGGACGAGCAGACGATCCGCATGCAGTTTGACAGCAGCAGGGACAGTTTCTTCGGCAAGAAGGTTACCGTGCGCAGAGGACGGAACACCATCCTCAGAGTGACGATTTTCATTCAATGAATTCATTGCGTAACACCGGGAGAAGCCGCAATACTTCCTGCTGCCACACGGGTATTTTGTTGACGCCTTAATTCCTATGGGCACCCATGGGTCCCTCCAAACGCCGCTGCACACCTGCAACGCATCCTGCGCCCTGAGAAGCATTTTCCTCACCGTAACCGAAATCGACCTCGCCGTCGGAGATGACCACATCGTCAAAGAATCAGGAATACTTCAGGGAGACAACAAAGCAACCGCCGACAAATCACATCGCAAAGAAGAAGCAGCGCCGAAGGCCGTAATATTAACGTGAATCAAACGAAGCATGCCATAAGCCAAAGACAATCTAATTGACTCGAGAAGAATACAAGAGGCTGGCACTCTCCCAGAAGAATAGAAACAACATGAAACAAAAAAAAATTCAAGTGTCCAAAGTCAAACCAAACTGCCAATCAAAAAAGCGTGTAAAAGGTCCACTCAACCGCAACACAAGTAAAACATTACAAGAATAAAAAAACAAAAAGCCGAAGCGTGGGACGACCAGCGCACACACACTCTCATTACTCCCGTAAAGCAAAACACACACACAGAGGGAGAGAGAGGTCGCCCACTCAATGCAATAAAAACAAAACAGAAACAGTTACGGTGCTCCGCCCATGCAGCCAGGCAGGACGGCAGCGGTGTGTGTCGGTGCAAAAGAGAGCACCAACGGGCATGCATGGGTGTGCATGCATGTATACAATGGGCACATTATTGTGTGTGCCTCGTGGGGTGAGGTGAGGGCGAGAGTCCATGCAAGGGGACACACACACACAGAGAGAAGGACGAGTGTGTGTGCGGGCGGTGCACGGCTCTCTCTCCCTCACTCTCACGCGGCCACCACCGCAGCCGCACACGCAACAACAACAAGAAGAAGAAGCAAAAGAGGGGAGGTGGTGTGGGAGACCGCGGTGCTGCCGTCACTGTCGCCAGTCGTCGCCGCGGCACCCTTCATGGCCGTGGCTTCGACTGGTGTTTCCTTCGTATTGCCATGCTTATTTTGACTGTTTTTTGTGTCGTTTTTCCCTGCACCGTCAGCAGTTGGATCATCGCTTGATATCCCTTCTTCAGTGCCACTGTTAGCGTCGTTAATCTCAAAAACGCTTTTATTTGAAGATGTTGTTTGTGCTGGTTCACCATGACCGTTAAATGTTGCATCCCGCTGGTTGGCAGCGGCGGAGGCGCTGGCTGGGTTTCGTGGATTGCTGTTTGACTCCTTGCTCTCGTGAACACCTTGTGAATGTTGCACTAACACGAAATCTTGAGGACCGGGCTGTTCGCTTTCTTGTGCCGGGTCAATAACTTCCGATTGTTTTTCATCCTTTTTCCGCGCCGCTGCTGGTATGTTTCCTTGTTCTGATGATGTTAATTTCGGTGCCGCTGTTGCTGCCAACGCTGCTGGGACTGGTGAATCTTCTGGTGATGGCGCTGCCGTTGGCGGCTGTCCTTGCGTCGTTGGTAGTACTGGCGTTGCTGGTGATTGTGTTGTTGGGATTCCTTTTGCTGGTGTTGGCCCTTTTTTGTGCTTTGATTGTGGTGGTGATGATGCTTCCTCTTTTGTTTGATCATTGGGTATTTCTGTCTCTGCTGTCTCTACTGCTTCCTCTTCTCGCTCTTCTTCCTCAACATCATCATCATCATCAACAACGTCATAATCTTCTTCTTCCGTTTCTTCACTTTCTTTTTGCGTCTCGACTTCATCTGGCACTTGTTTTTTGGCAGGATCCTCTGGCTGGCTCACCATAACTCCATTTTCTAGACTCAACGCCTGATTTGCGGTGTTGGACCTCTGCATTACTGAACCTAGTGACTTCTGTGGTCCATCCTCATTTTCTCGAGATCCACGCAGTGGGCCCTCCAAACTCTCATCTTTTTCCCTGGTAACGTCAACTTCACCATCGGCCGCAATTCCAAATACACCGCACCACAGCACGCAGAGGGCACACACCAGCAGCACACGGCCAGTCATCATCGCCATCACTCCTGTCACTTGCGTGCAGCCTTCAGCACAAACTAACTCCCCGTCAATGTAGAGAAAAAGAAAAAAGGAGAGACAAGGTTTTTTTTTCCTACTCTTACCAGCGCGTCTAGCTATACAGTGCCATCTGAGTGCCGAAGAGGTGGTCGAGCAACGACAAAAGTTTCCTGCTATGAAGCAACTGTCATTGAGAGAACTTTCCGAGGCGAAGGTCCTGTTCAATGCCCAGCCGTCGGCGCACAGCCAAGGTGCCTGGACATTCTAGAAGCAGATGGTGCAAGGTTTCCTGCGGGCCGATTGGCGTGCTTGTGGAAGCTGGCTGATCCTGCGGCAGCAGAGATCGCCTCCTGGCACTTCTGTTTAGATGTCGTGTGGCGTCTGGGTTGTGTGCGCAGCGACTTCTGTGCTGTGCGGTACTTCTCCGTGTGGGGAAAACCATGTCACAGAAATCACATTTGAGCTCGGGAAGCGGTGGAGGATGTTCCGGGTGAAATGACCGACAGTGACTGACGAGACCCGAGAATCCCGTCGATGTAGAATCACAGTGCGGACATTTCTCCTTCCGACGGCGTGTGAGGGTCCGTCTGCTTACTGGAGAGACGTCTTCCTCCCTCGCCGACGGGGGAACAGTGTCCGTCGCCGGTGCAGTTGGATCGTTGTTAGAGCGCATATATGCAGACTGTTCCGGTGAGATGTTGCAGAATCGGCATTGGTTCGTGCAATCTCTCACGGCCCAGTATAGTCGGCCCCAGAGCTCAGATTCCCCGCACCTTGCCCTTGCGAGGCGAACCAGTTCCTGACGGTGTAGAACTTCCTGAGTGATCAGGTCCTTACCGCTGAGATCTGATGGCCTTGTGCCGCAAAGCAAGTAGCGATGAGTGTCTTGACGAATGGTACTACGCCACTTGTTGGTGAGCTGGGTAGTAAAACATGTCAGCAGATCCGTGTGCCATAAAGGTGCGATTCCTTGCTCCGTGTATTGTCCGGTTGCCATAGTCTGCGTCGCATACTGATCTGCAAGCTCGTTAGCATGTACTCCACAATGTCCGTAACAAAACTGCAGGTGCACGGACCAGCCAGCACGCGTCAGTGTTAAGAGACGCTGCCAGATCTGATCCTCCGTCCAGTCTGTCTGACTGAGCGGGCCCTTGTTTAGAGCCGCTAGAAGAGACCGACTGTCCGTAACCACAAGCAGGGTTTTACGCCTGTGGCGGATACAAGGAATCATCAGCTTCTCTAGGGCTAGAAGCAGCGCACGGGATTCCGTCCTGTAGCTGCATGGGCGTGCGCCGCAGTTTATGCTGGCCTTCTCTATTATCTCCGATGAGTTGAGGGATGAAAGCAGTATTCCAACCCATGCTGACTTGGGAACGTCGACACCGCCATCGGTCGCAAGTATCCACGAACGATGGCTGTGCAGCGCCAGAGCCTCTTCGCTGACTCTGCGCTTTTACCTTATCAGCTCTTCTTCGTCAGTTATTGAGAGGTCCATCGGAAGTTCCACACCGATGGTGACCCGGTGAGCGGAGGCCGCAAACCAGGGAGGAATGGAGCTGCGAAAGAACCGCTCTTCGCGTGGTGAGCTCTCGGTGATGCCATAGTCCTTTGTGTATGCGTCTACGAAGGCATATAGCTCGTCCCGAGATAGTGGCGAGATGCGGAAACCGGCGCGAGGCGGTGGCTCAGGCGGGGGTCTCCGCATCCAGTCCATCTGACATGCGCGTGTGTTCTCAAATATTGAGAGCCGCGCGCGCAGGCAAAGGACATGGAGCGGCGGCGTATTAGCCTCCAGCAGTGCGGATTCCGGGTCGACAGTGCTCGGAACTCCACTGACAATGCGCGCCAGAGTTGCGTACGTCTTCTGCATCTCATTCTTCGCTGAATCCGTCGCTACTGCCCATATGAGCTCGCTGCCATAGCGTAATTTGGAAGCACCGTATCCAATGACGAACGTGCGTAGGTCATGTGGAGATGGTCCCGCCTCTTTGTGCGCTATGCAGCGTAGCTGCGATATCCGTTGCGAAGTGGCAGCGCATTGCTTGGTGGCCGCCACATTTAGCGTCAGTCGTGGATCGAGATCCATGCCGAGAAGCTTCGTAGTTCGCGATGCCCCCATGGTCATGACTGGGATTTGGCATCCAGCCACTACCAGGGGCCACCTTCCTTCACGATCATAATCTGACTCCGTGTGCGTGGAAAGTGTGAACCAAGCAGCTTCACACTTTGACGGGTTGATGGCCAGGCCATTACCCTGACTCCACGCATGCAGTTTTTGAAGAACCATGTTGGCAGTGGGAATGGCGTCTTCCCGGGACTGCCCCTTAACGATAATAGAGAGGTCGTCCGCATACATGTCTGCTGTGACACCCGCAAAGCTGTTCAGCAGATTGAGAAGTGGGTGTACGTAAAGGGAGAACAAATACGGTCCCAGCACGGACCCCTGAGGAACTCCTCGCAGCATGGGACGCCGATCGCTGTGTCTGTGGCCAACTCGTGTCTTCGCGTAGCGACCACATAGAAAGTTTCTAAGCTACCCTCTACAATTCACCCCCGGAATATTAGCCAGCAAGCGACTGAGGACTCGATGATCTATGGAGTCAAAGGCCTTGCTGAAATCAACCAGCACCAGCAGGGTCCGATGGGGTCTGTAGTGGAGTTGATTGCCAATACCGCTCTTCTTGGGAAGGCTCACTTGGAAATAGTGATTTCTATTATGCTCCACTTCGTGTATCAGGTGTGCCAGCTGCATCGTCGTAGTACGCATACTACGATATGCATACTGGTGGGGGTGCGGCGTCCACACCCAAAGCAATCTCTTCAGTACCATTTTCTCAGCAACCTTACTCACAATGGAGGTAAGGCTGATGGGTCGATATGACTCAAGCAGTTCCGGCGACTTACCGGGTTTTAAGAGCGGAACGATGGTAGCGCGTCTCCATTCAGCCGGAATCGTACCGGTCGTCCAGCTGTGGTTAATGCAACGAAGAAGGAATCGGAGGCCCTTTGACGAAATATGTCGCAGTGCCTCACTGTAGACTTCATCCGGTCCGGGGGCCTTGCCATACGACGTATTACGTAGCGCAGCAAGCAGTTCCGTACGATTAAAATGTGCATCAAGAGGGGAGTGAAGATGAGCAAATAAACCAGATGTGGTGGCAGCGTCGTTTTTGTCCTGTGGCTCAGAACTAGATGAGAATGAAGAACCTGAATTAAATGTAGCGGCAGACTCGTTGTTGTTCTGCTGCCCAAAAAGAAAAAAAAGCATAAATGTTCAAAGATGCACTCTGTCTGTTGATGCCTTTGGAAAACCTAACTGCCTTGTGAGAGGGGTGAAATGGAAGAAAGATGCGATTGAGAGCATTCGCTGCTCTCCTTGCTGTTTTATAAGTGTGTTGACCACCTCCTAATAACATTGATGTGGGGGATGGAAGTGATGCCTTTTTTCGTCCGGAAATGTATTTCCATGCGAGTGGCTCGCCTGGATTTAACTTGCTGATGCGGCGTAGATACGTGTTGCGCAAGCGCTCTCGGAGCAGGAGGAAGAATTGACTCCTTGTCCGTTGCATTTCTGCCTCACGGTTGGGCGTCGGTAACTGTAGATAGCGGGCCTTGCTGTCGGCAGCAATCCGCTCTGCTTCCATGAGAGTGTCGTCCCAAAGCCTGGGACCGTCCTTGTGCATGCCGCGGGGGCAATGTCGTCGATACGAAGTTATAAGCGCTCTCGTGAAAGCCTTAATGCCTGTGGACTGCTTTTTATAGTCGTATGCCGGAAGTTGTGCGTCGAAGTCCTTGACGAATAAATCCCACTTGCACTTCCCCCAACTGTAGAAAAACTTAGGTGCCGAAGGGGGTGCCGAAGGTATGGTGTCCTTAAATGCCTGATGCAGCGTGAATGTCAGCATATAATGATCACTAAGCGGCGACACAGAAGCTGACCAATCCGACACAGTCAAATGCTTTGACCATGTCAGATCGATACAGGATCGTTTTCTTGTGCCACGGGCATACGTGATCTCACCAGGGGTGTTAACCAAGGTGAGTCCCGCATCCGTGCACAGTTCTAAAAATTCTGCAGCAACCTCGCTTGGAGAAGTCTCCAAGAATGGCTCCCACTGTGGGTGATGCATGTTGAAATCCCCACACAGCAGGAGCGGCGACAAGGCTGGAAGGCAGTTTACTAACCGCCTGAAGGATTGCGTTACTTGCGGTGGTGGTCTCATATAGGCACTCGCTACAATAAGATCACGGTCCTGGTCCAGAGCAACCTGGACCACCACCACTTCATGGCTGGCGTCATGCTGGGGGATGGTGAGAGGTATACGCTTGGAGCGGAGAGTTTTCCGCACCAGCACCGCCACACCGCCTCCCTTGCCGATGCGCGACTGTGCATGGAGCACATAATCTCCAGTGTGCATGCTGGCGATCTGCTCTGACGACTTCCAAGTCTCCTGAATGGCTATTATGTCTGCTCCTTGCGCCATTAATGTTGCGAGTTTTGACGGCGTGAGGCAAGAAACGTTCATCTGGAGTACTGCTATGGGGCCTGGGTTCTGCTCAATGTCTCCGCTTAGCAGTAGCTTTTGTCGTTGCGCGTCGCATACGGCACGCAAACGGTATGTATAGCGCTGATAAGCGCCGATGGAATTCAGCAGCGGATGAAAATACCGCTCCGCGGGCAGCCATGTAAATGGCTCCAACATCTGGTGCCCTTCCGACCCGTTTGTGCGGCGCCTCCTGCCTCTCCGCGGGCAGCAGATGGGCAGCAGGCGCTTAGCTTCCTCTCTAGCAAAGAGTACTAGACCCTGGCGCCACGTTGAGGTGGCTGGCTGACCCATAGCGTTGTTGTGGCCTTATTGTTGGCCGTATTTGGCACTTTCATCCTCTCGTTTGATATCCTTGTCTTATGATTCTCGTCGCCTTGTGTATTTTACTGCGCCTTTTTATTTTGTGCATCTGACATACCGGTCGCACCTTGTGTGTGTGGAGACTGAGTTGCTAAGCTTGGTGTCTCGGGATTATCTTTAGCCGAATTCATTGTCTCTGGCGGAACTGGTGTGTGTCCAGTGATGGCTGTGCCTGCTTCCTTTGGCAAAGAAGGTTCTGGAATTTTCAAACCTTCCTCACTGTCTCCCCCACTCTCTCTCTGTGGCTTACCGGTCTCCCCACCATCTGGCTGTAATGCGCCCGGCGTATTTTTTGTAGAATCCGGTTTCCTTGCCTTAGGGTTGGAGGACTGCTGTTATCATTATTACCGTCTCCTGTCGCCGTCACGCACACGGAGCGAGCACCCACCACACCAGCCACACGCGGTGCTCCACACCCGCAAGAAAGGAGACTCGGGCTGCGCACTCCCTCTCCTCCCTTCATGCCCACGAAAGAAGACAACAGCCGCCACACGCAACTGCCAGCACGCACTGCAAAAGGAGCATTCAAATCCACTGCAATGTGCATCTTGTGCGTGTGTGTCTGCAGAAACAAAAAGCAAAGTAGAAAAAAGAAAGCAGAGTATGTGGAGGGACGCACAAAAATATACAGCGGAGACGCATAACGGAAACAACAACAAGAAGACCGCTCAAACTCATGATTGCAACGCAGCCCAAGCAGCGGCAATTCACACAAGATTTATTTAAAACAAAAAAAGAAACCTTCAACTTACACAAACCCCATCACACAAAATAATTATAAATAAATAAGAAATCGTCCATTACTGTTCCACACAAATTTAAAATAATAAAAAGAAAATCGCGTGGCTGCCGTGTGGCCACACCAAACTGTCTGCATAATTTGCCCGCAAAATAAAATTAAAAGGTATTTAAATGTCTTTCAGCCGTCCGACCCTCCGTGTGTCCGCGCATCGTTTATATTTCACGGGGCCATCTGCGTGTTGCTGCTCCCCTCAGCCCTCCCATCGGCGCGTGAGTGCGGCCCGCAGAGCACAGTCACTCGTGTGTGTGGGGACTGAGAGAAGCACGCAGACATGACGGCAGTCGCGTCACTCCATCGGGAGAGTGAGCGCAGAAAAAACAAAAAAAAGAAAAAAACACGGCGGCAGGGTGTGGCTGTGTGTGTGGCGCTGCGGGTGTCTGCCCGCCCTGGCCGCAAAGAAACAAAACAAGAGGGAAGAAATGTGTGCTCCGCCCCACAGGCCCTCGTCGCACGCCCACACGTCACGGCTCCCTCAGCGCGCCGTTCGTCGCGGCCCCTCCTCATGCGTGCAGCAGGCGAGGCGCACAGGGCCGTCGTCACGAGCGTGTCGGTGGGTGTGCGAGTGGAGCAGTTGGGCGGGAAACACACGGCAACCCTCACAGGAAGAGTGCAGAAGAAACAATTAAAAAGAGGGAAGAGTAGAAAATAAAAAACGTCCACAGTGATTGCCTCCGAAAGCAGAAAAGGGATGTGAAAAAAAGCAACATACACATAAAAATAAAAAAAGAATTTTAAGAAAGTAGCAAACAGGAAAATAAATTTAAAATACGCAAAAAAAAGATTTATGAGAGATATTAGTTCCCGGAGAAGTAATTCTGTGCTCGGGAGGGCGCAGTGTTCCACGCGGCAGCCAGTCACTCCTCACAGAGCCGCATACCCCCACAGTCCCAACAGAAGGAGGAGCAGCGGCAGCAGTCCGCTCCCACGCATGGTGCCGCCATCGCTGTTATTCCCCTGCGACAAATTTCCAGGGCTGCTGTTGAGTGCCGCAGCATTTACTTCCCCGTCCTGTGAATGGATTCCCTCCTCTCCCTGCGCATTCGTTCCTCCCACCGTCTCCGCAACCTCTCCAGAGCTTGCGCTCGACTCATGATTCACCGTGAATCCGCCAGGAGTGGACACGGACACGGTTTTCTGTGCAACTGGTCCGCTCACCACTGTCGAAGGAGTGTCCACCATCAATGTATTCGGACCTTCCGGCTTCGGGATGGTAATTTTATTTTTGGCAAGCGCGGTAATCTCAGTGCCATCCAACGGGCGGTTGTAGAGCAGGACATTCGTCGCGGTCACGGAAAAGCCTTCTTGACCCTCTGCGCTGCCTCCATCCCCTCCAATGTAGAAGTGGGAGATTCCTTTCGGATCCTTACTTTTCAATACACATGACTCATCTCCGACACGCTGACCATCGACGTACACGGAGCCCTGGGTGCCGTTATTTAGCACAATGGCCACTTGGTACTGTGTCTGTGGCTCCCAAGTGTTGCTGTGCTTCTTGGTTGTTTGACCACTGCAAAGCACTGCCCAATTCCCCTCTCTTTTGTACGACAGTCCCAGGAGAACTGTATTTTCACTGTCGTCATTCATCTTCGCACCCATCAATGGAATGGGGGTATCTCCCTCCTCCGGCACACCGTGGATGGACACCGTCGCCAAAAGAGTGAAGTTGTAGTTCGCAAAGTGGTACAGCTGATTCTCTCCCTGCCTGCCAACAGGCCACTCCGCTCCTGCACCACGTCCTTTGAACGTCACGCCATTATCCTTTTTCCCCACCCCATTCTTTCGTTTACTTACTGTGGCGTTCACGCCGAGGTACTCGTCCCTCCATGTGCCATCAGAGAAGTTGCCGGACAAAAAGCCAACCAGCCCATCCGTGATCTTAACAGCGCTGCAGGCATTGTCAGTTGGGGCATCGTTCTTAGCATTCTCAAAGGGGCACAGCTCGGAGACACGTCCGTCCACTTCCTTCCAGGTCGTCAGCACCTCCTTCACCCGCTTCAACTGCGCAGTCAGGAGCACAGAGACCATACCGGATGACGATTCGCCCTTCTTCTTCTCGTACAGTGTAATCAACTCCTCCTCATCATTATTATTCCCACTTTTGTACAGCAGGGAGCTGGCGGCAACGTCATCATCACTGGATACCGACCCAATATCAACAATGTGCGTGTTGTCCGTCAGCCAAAGATGGAGTTCACCCTTTCCATTTTCGTTTTCGTTCTTCTCCTTCTCGGGGTACACCGGCAGAGTAACGAGCATCACGTTTCTCTTAGCACCGCCAACACCGTCAATCGTCGCTGTGATGAAACCGCTTCTAACGCCCTTCACATTTCCGTTTTCTTTGCTGCCCCACACGCGCGAGAGCGTCCCGAGTGCCTCCGTCCACGACTCCCCCTTGTCACCGGACTCGTACACCCTGCGGCGGCCACCAACACACGCAGTCATCATCATGAGTTTGTCCTTCCACTCCACGACGGAGGGATCACTGCAGCCATCATCAGGCACCTCCTTCGACAGCTTCCAAATCTCAGTACCCTGCAAGCATAGGACCAGCGAAACGGTCTTTCCATTTTTTTCTGCGCCATCATTCTCCTTCTTTTTCGTGCCTTCCACCGGGAACACAAGCGTACCTTCGTTCATCTTAACGCCCGATCCACCACCGCCAATCAGTGCTGTCAAACTTTTGTGTTGGTCGCCTAGAGTCAATGGAATAGCGTGAGTATCGTTCCAACAAATTCTTTTTTCCTCTTCTACCGCACCACTGACCTGACCCTTCACCAGCAAAAGTCCCCAGTGATCTGTCCCGCCCTCTTCATGACCAGTGGCAGCTGTCCGACTGTAGTTTCCAACAAACATGTAAATATCATTTCCATTCACAACTGTTGTTGGTCGGCTCACGTGCACTTTCCTCTCGTTCGGAGAATCAGATTCCTGATCTGCCACACGGCAGCCGCATTTCTCTTCGCTACCGGCACTACATGTCCCTTCTTTATTGGCAGGACATTCCTCCAGTACTTGTGTCTTCAGATTATTTGCATCCAACTCCTCTTTTGATGGTTCGTCAGTCAACGTCAGGAGCTTCGAGGCAATCCCAGTAAAGCTGTTTTCACCCTTCGTCCACTGCGCCTCGGCAACGGCAAACACTTTACCATTCACCTCAACAAGACTGGGACCACGGAGCGAACTCACTGTTTCATCACCTGTTGTATCTCTCCAAACAAAACGTTTATCCAGTGAAGATTCCTGAGGTAGCGATGGCCCGTCACCTTGCGCAACTCCACTGCCGCAGCACATCATCACGACGAGGAGCAGCACCGCGGAAGTGAACACACGCCGGGACATTTTGGGCCTCCGCGGCTCACTCTCTCCTCCTTCCCTCCTCCTTCCGCTGGATCCGTTCACACAGCGACGGTTGTGTGTGCGGGTGCCTCCACTGCAGCAACACGTGAGAGCATATAAATATGTGTGTGTGGGCGGTGTGTGTGCTGTTGGTCCTTTCAGAGCCTTCGAATTGCACAGTGGCGTTTAGCGCTTGTTTTTCTCCTACGTAAGAGAGTAAAAGAAATGAATACAAACCGATTAATGAAAAAAGGGGTGAAAGAATAACCACCGCCACCCATCCGCAGTGAGTGGCACCATCATCCCCGCCGCAGTCACTCCCAACAACAACAACTCACGCACACAGACACACGGAAAGAGACGGAAGAACAGCGCACCGGGAACAAAAAGCGACTGCCACCAGCAGTAAAAGCCACGGCGGGTGTGTTATTCCCGCGTCAGCACACACCGAGCGACTCCCACACCCAGAAAAGCAACCGGCAGAATGCAAAAGAACACGACCGTCCTTCGCAGCACCTGCGCGCTGTAGCCAGTCGTTTTACTGTTCACCCTTCCAACGCACCCTCCAACGCACATCACCCCAGACAGCCGGAGGACCCCTGACCAAAGTATACACAGCATAGGAGGTACACATCGGCACGTGCAGCAGCTGGACGAGAAGCAATGCGCACTTGTCCCAGGCACCTTAAGCCACACCACCCAATCGACTGCACACCAGCAACGTGTCAAAAAATAAATCGCAGGCTCCCGTCCTCCCTCCTCGCAAGGGACGTCGCAGCCAGAACCTTCTGTGTGCGTCCTCAGAAATCACGCCGCTCTACAGCGTATGCATAATGGCATGTGTGTGTTTGGCATCGCCTATACTTGCAGAGCAGTTGTGCGCCACAAGAGAGTCTGAAGAAAGCAACGGCAGAGAGAGGCAGATAGCACACACGCAAATTACCCATATCATCACACACACAGCCGCAGAATGGGTGCACTCAACCACAAAATCAAAAAGAAACAAAACAAAAAGCCGAAGCGTGGGACGACCAGCACACACACTCTCATTGCTCCCGTAAAGCAAAACACACACACACACACACAGAGGGAGAGAAAGAGAGGTCGCCCACTCAATGCAATAAAAACAAAACAGAAACAGTTACGGTGCTCCGCCCATGCAGCCAGGCAGGACGGCAGCGGTGCGTGTCGTGCAAAAGAGAGCACCAACGGGCCTGCATGGGTGTGCATGCATGTATACAATGGGCACATTATTGTGTGTGCCTCGTGGGGTGAGGTGAGGGCGAGAGTCCATGCAAGGGGAAACACACACAGAGAGAGAAGGAAGAGTGTGTGTGCGGGCGGTGCATGGCTCTCTCCCCCTCACTCTCACGCGGCCACCACCGCAGCCGCACACGCAACAAGAAGAAGAAGCAAAAGAAGGGAGGTGGTGTGGGAGACCGCGGTGCTGCTGTCGCTGTCGCCAGGCGTCGTCGTGTTATTTCTCTTGGTGATGGTGACATGTTCTGTTGAGGTTTCTTCTCCTGCCTGAAGTTCCGTGTCTGTTGGTGATGGTTCTGCAGATGGTGATCGTGGAGTTGTTTGTGTTACTGGTGGGTTGCTGGTAGTAGAAGATAGGCCTGTAGTGAATTTCGGTCCGACATTTCCCTTCTCTTTCTCCTTTTCAACTGCATCTCCACTATCATCTGGACTTTCTGTGACTTCTTCTGAAGTAGAGAAGCCCCGTTTTGCTTTGGATTCTGATCTCTCCTGTGGATGCTCGTTGGGCAATGCAGTTCCAAGATACATTGCTTCCGACTGTAGACCCTTTTCTGAAGGTTGTTTGCTCTGAACAAGTGGGACATCGAGGGCAGAGGATGATGAAAAGCCAGCCGTAGAAAGAGGAGAAACTGAAGAGTCACCTCGAGAACTGCCACTGGGTCGAGTTACATCAGGTACTGGTGATGGTGGCGGTCTTATTGCTTGGCCCGCCTGTCCTGCATGTTTTGCTGCTGGATCTTCACTGGTCAACATTTTGTTTGTTGGTGTTGGAGATGGGTTCCTTTTGTCTTCTTTTGGACCATCGCTTTCCTGCGTTTCATCTGAATGATCTTTTGGTTGTTCTTCTCCATCACTTCTTGTTTCTTCATCTCTCACCCTCTTTGCTTCTACTGGTTCTTCTTTCCCTGCCGCCCCAACATTATCTCTTGGTGTTTGTTTGACAGATGTTTTTTGAGGGCTGACCTTCGTTAAGTCTTGCGCATCTGACGGTTCCCCTGAGGTGTTTAACACTCCACCGACTGGCTTTCGCACATCCGGTTCTTCTTCATGGTCACCCTTAGATGGAGACTGTGAAACCCTCGATGGTTCACCTTGTAGTTCAGTAACAACATCACCCTCCGCCTCCACCGCACCACCGCACCACAGCACGCAGAGGGCACACACCAGCAGCACACGGCCAGTCATCATCGCCATCACTCCTGTCACTTGCGTGCAGCTTTCAGCACAAACTAACTCCCCGTCAACGCAGAGCAAAAGGAAAAGACGCGGCACAGTAAAAAACACCAGCAGCAGCAGCACGCATTTCATGAGAAACATTGAACCAATGAAAGTGAAAAAAAGCACAACGCCCCGTAATAATTTAACAAGAAAAACACAAGACAAGGAAAAACAAAACCAAGGAAAAAAATCAGCAAAAGAAAAACAGTAAAAAGGAAAATGCACCAAATAGCTCGAGCGTGCATGCATATACGAAAACAGTTGTATGCGTGCAGTGCATATGAGTGCGTCTGGCATGTTTTCAAAGTGACGGATACAGGGAGCAGCAATACAGAGCACACAGCACGGCAGCGGAAGCAATTGAAGCAAAACAAAATCATTATTTTCTATTATTTATTTACATCGGACCACAGTGGACGCGTACAAATCCCCGTGGCTGAGTGCTGGCACGCACAGCCCACACACACCTCTTCAGCCCAGAGTGGTGTACGCCAGCGCGGATGCGGCGAGCAGCAGCGGGGCACACACCCACGCAGAGCTGCTGAGGCTGCCGTCGATTTCCCGAAGACGTGACGGTGCGCGGGTGGTCGTCGTGGTTGGCGCCTCTGTAGTCTTAGTGCTTGGTGCCTGTGTTGTCGTGGTCGTTGTAGTTGGTGGCTGTGTCGTGGTCGTAGTGGTTGTCGTATTTATTGCATTAGTTTTTTGATTTTGGTCTTTTGCGTTATCGGTCTCACCACCATCCGCCTCTTCGTTAGTGGGTTCCTCTTCCTGTTCCTGGATGCGATCACCTTGTGACTCCGCTGTTAATTTCACTACCTCACTTACCTTTGACAGAGGAGAAAGTGTACTCTGCGGATCCGTTACCTGCTTTGGTTCCTCCGTCTCATTTTCCTTTAGACCGGAGTGTCCTCCAGAATTATCAGATTTACCATCAACATCTGCTGTCACGCACACGGAAGGGCAGCAGCACAGGGCGAGCACCAACAGGGCGCACAGCAGACGGCACGTCATCATCGTGAGTGTGGTCGTTCAGTGGTGTGGAGCTGATCTGCACAGTGAGGGACATGGAGAGCAACAGGGGAGACGAGAGGTGCGGCAGACACACACAGAGGACAAACCACATGAGGAGAGGGCAGCAGCCAGGCATGCACCGTACGCCGCACACCACGCACAACACACACTCCAATCCACGGCAGCAGGCACACACACACACAGCCCTGCCGCAACACCAGCACACAGATGGAGGAGGGGGAAGCAAACAGGAGCGACACACAAGGCTCCACCGCATGCACATACGGCGAGAGCGGTCCGTCGTGTCGGCACCCCTCACGGAGGGTACGCACACACACAAGAGGAGACGCAGCGCACACAGCAACACAAAAGCAAAGTAACAATTAAAGGAGAGATACCCGCACACCACGTGGATTGTTGTTCCACGAGAAGTGCAGCCAATATCCATCACAAAAATAACTTTTTATATTGTTTTCCTCGCGCCGGAATGAGTAAATAGCGCAAGGGCTGTCCGTACAAAAGTGTTAATCATTCCGTCGTAAACGGACCGTCGTGCAGGCTGGGGCAGTCCCAAACAGTCGCAGTCCATACTCTCAATGACGGGGCATTCCTACAGTGGATGAGGCGGAGTCTCCCGTGGTCCGTCGGGAATCAGCAGCCCATGGCGTCTGTGATGAGGCGGTGGCGGAAGAGCCGGGTCCATCTCGAGTGTCCGCGTTCGTGCTTCCTGCGTTTCTTGCCTGCTGGCATGCTTGGCGACTTCGGTGGCGACCTGCGCGCGAGGTGCCTGTTAAGAAGACGCCGGAGCCATTGCGGCATCCGCATGTGAGGCCTCGTAAACTATTATGACGCCAGGCCGAGCACGTCGGGCATGTGCCGTCATATTGTTGACAAAAGAACGCACTCTGCGGCAGTTTGGGCAGGAGAATGTCAATCCGCCGCTCGTTGGTCAACAAGGAGTTGCGGAGTTTTCGTCTGGAAGAGTTTCCGGCGGAGGCAGAAAAAGGCCGATCTCCTCAGTAAGAAGGGACGGCGCCACCGACACAGAGGTCACTTGTGATCCGCAGGGCGCGCGCAGGCCTGTCGAAGAGCGGGCAGGTGTGGCATCGTGCCTGTGCGCGGTGCCGCCACTCGGCGCACGATGTCCGGGTCAGCACCAGGAACAGAGTCCTCGCCACACCGACAGGCGCCTGTCACGCGGTGTGCGCGCCCTCCTTTTCCTCCTGGAATTTCTTTCAGTACGGCCGCCTGACTGCAGTGGGGAAGTCCATGTGCCAGGCAGTGACGCAGTCCTGCGGGAGGGATCGTGCCATGACGGCGTCGGCGTCCGCTGTCACGTTGCGTGGGATTCCGCAGTGTCATGGGGAAAATGTGGAGTCAACAGTGCGACCTCGATCCGCCAGTGAAAGCAGCACGGTACAAATCTCCTCGGTGACGTCGTCGTGCACCGCCAGCGAGCCAAGGCGGAGCGACTCCATCGCCGAGAGGGAGTCTGTGGCGGCAGGAACTCGTGTGGGCGATTGGGATGCTGCCAGGCGGGGAACTGGGAACTGTCTGGGGCCATGCTCGGTGGCAGGACACTCCGCACGGCAGAAGCATGCGAGGCTGCCAGCAGCTGCGCGGTGAGGCCCCACAGGGAGCTCGGCTGTCCTGGGAGTCGAGTGGCAGCGCAGCGGATCCAGACGCATGCTCAGCAAGAGAAGACGAGCCGTCCACCGCCAACACAGTTGCCAGCGACTAACAACACGTTGAGCACTAATAGGGCACGTATGCCCGCACTGCCATGGGCACGGGAAGCGACCGCGATTCGCTCAGCAACAGTGATCTAATGCCCTTGGATGGTGCAACAGCCACGCCTGAGCCCAGAACAGCCCTAGCAAATGTTGAACGAGTGATAACGTGTCAGGTGGCGCTGATGCCGCACAGGATTATTTGCGCACAACGTCTGGGAAATCAGAGATCCCATCGGAGCACAACGCAGCATCGCTTCTGAGCAACGGTTTTTGTGAGCACGGGCATTTCACGGATTTGTTGGCCATGGCTGAAATTGGTGACAGCACCATGCATGGGTGTGTGTCTCGGGTGTTGTTGCTTCTGATTCTAGGGCTGTGGGTCACTGCGGCGCTCTGCTGAGGTGTGAGGGAGGGTGGAACTGCGGCTTTTCGTGGAACAATAACTGTGCAGCTTGCCAGCATTACCCACTGAGTTTTGTCAATAATCTAGGTTTTTGAATTTAATTTTATTTATTCATTTTTTCTGCTTTCCCCTATTGGAATAATCAGCATCCCTGTGTTTTTCCCCAATGGTTGCTTGTCGTACTTTGTCAGGAGTGACGTGTTTCACCTTTTGTTTCCTTCCGTTGCTCACACGCGGTGTCGATTTCATTGCTGTGCGTCCCACGGAATGCATAAGAGGAGGATTGGAGGAACACGCCGGATGCCGCATGAAATGTGAAGAGTGTTTTGTGTGGGCTCACGGAACAGTACGATCTTTTTTTGCTTTATTCAGTCCATGCATTAAGTATACACTAACCAGTGGTCGTTTACATTTTGCTGCCTGGCACATGAAATGAAAGTCGTGCCTGATCGATGTTTCATATTTTTTTCATTTTTTGGGAGTCCCTCCGGACTCTCAACTCTGTTTTTCCCTGCAAAACTTCTGGATTGCAGGGCGGTATGTAAGTTCTGCAATTGTACGGATTCCAACTGCCTCATGGTGTGTGCATTGTCATTTGTGACTGTGGGGTGGCTGTGTGACTTGTCTCTCCTTTTGCTTTCACTCTGCGTTGACGGGGAGTTAGTTTGTGCTGAAGGCTACACGCAAGTGACAGGAGTGATGGCGATGATGATGGCTGGCCGTGTGCTGCTGGTGTGTGTCCTCTGCGTGCTGTGGTGCGGTGCGGGTGGAGGCGGTGCCGAAATGAACGATGAAACATTGGTTGATTCACAGCATTTGTCTGGTGTCGGTGAAAAAGCTCCAAAGGGATTGCCGGAGTCTGGTGAACGAGGTCCTGACAGCGCGGGGCATTCTTTGGACAAAAATAATGGAATTAATTCCAATCTGCAAGAGGGGACAGTCACAGGAACAACAACAGAAAGAGTTGGGAAGAAAAAAGAGGAAGATGTGGGTGATGATGACGGTCTTGAAGAAGAAGAGGAAGAAGCAGAAACGGATGATGATGATGATGATGAAGAAGAAAAAGAGAAAAGTAAAGAAAAAGAAGATACGCCACAAGCCGGGAAATCCGAAAGTTCATCGAAAGAGGTGGCAGCAACAATACCAACAGCATCTGGTCTCAGTGGAGTCGGTGGTGGTAGTCCTTCTGGTGTTGATGATGGCGGATCGAATGGAAGTCCTAACGGAATTGAAGATTTGAATTTGGAGGTTCCTGGTCCTGTCGTGAACTCTCCGTCTCCCCTTCCCAATGCTGCCGCTGGTGGTTTGCAGAATCCCGACGGTGCTTTACCGTCTCAGAAGAATAATTTCTCAGAAACAGGTGTGCATTCAGGAACGACGCTTCCAGCACCCTCACTGCCCAAACCACAGGCACCCGCGATAACACAACCAAAAGCAGAAGAGCAGTCCTCCACTGAACAGGACACAGAATATAGTCCAGACATAGAGGAGGTCACAACCGTAAAAGAAAAGGTGCAGAATACCGTGGAGACAGGAATTCCTTCCAGGGCGTCGTCTGCCGCCAGCAAGCCGCCCGTACAACAACCAACGCCACTATTAACACAATCACCGGCAGCACCATCACCAGAACGATTAGCAGCAGCAACATCAGAAGAAAAATCAATAGCACCGAGTTTTTCAGCAGGAGAAGGAAGCCGTACAGCAACAAACGTCGCACAGAACTCAAAGGAAGAAAAGAATGAAAAATTGCCGTCAGAAAACGAAACGGAGTCCAAAGCGGTGGAACAGCCTTCAGGGAATGATGTGGCAGAGGAAAACAGTCCAGCGCGAACAACAGCATCACCCATTCCCGCAAGTGGCGGTGCCGATGACCAGAGAAATGCGGACGCGGATAATAGCAATGCTCGAGTGCTTAAATCCGAAGGAACACACAAGAACTCCGAAACTGGTTATACAAACCTTGCTTCTACAGCCGGTGATGCAGCAACACAAACAGAAAAAGCACCCGCCGACGCCAAAACAAACGATACTACGAAGCCTGGTGACAGTGACGGCAGCACCGCGGTCTCCCACACCACCTCCCCTCTTTTGCTTCTTCTTCTTGTTGCGTGTGCGGCTGCGGCTGCGGTGGCGTCCGCGTGAGAGTGAGGGAGAGAGAGCCGTGCACCGCCCGCACACACACTCTTCCTTCTCTCTCTGTGTGTGTGTCCCCTTGCATGGACTCTCGCCCTCACCTCACCCCACGAGGCACACACATAATGTGCCCACTGTATATATGCATGCACACCCATGCAGGCCCGTTGGTGCTCTCTTTTGCACGACACGCACCGCTGCCGTCCTGCCTGGCTGCATGGGCGGAGCACCGTAACTGTTTCTGTTTTGTTTTCATTGCATTGAGTGGGCGATCTCTCTCTCTCTCCCTGTGTGTGTGTGTTTTGCTTTACGGGAGCAATGAGAGTGTGCGCTGGTCGTCCCACGCTTCGGCTTTTTGTTTTGTTTTCTTTTATTGTTTTACTTGTGTTGTGGTTGAGCGCACCCATTACTTTTTTTTTTTTGATTGGCTTGATTTGACTGCGTAAGCATAAACTCTGTTTTTTATTTTTTCTTTTCTTTTGAGGTATTGTCAGTGTTTCCTATTCTTCTCAAGCCATGAAGTATTTTTTGTTACGTACAGCATGCGTCAGTTGATCCACGTCACCCCACGGTCTGCAGTGCTGCTGGTGCTTCTGGTAGTGCTTCTGGTTGTGATGTGTTGTGCCGGCGGGTGCTTTGCTGCCAGCCTGACGTACTCCTGCTCCTCTGACAAAGCGATGCGTGCGGACAGGGCGAAGTCGATCCCGGCTGTGGTGAGGGACGTGCCCTTTGGATCTGAGGGTGCGTCGCAGAAATGCAGCGTCATTAGGAGGAATGGGTGGGCGCCCACCCGCATCAATGTGTCGACAAGGGACCTGGATGGCACCAGGAAGTATTGCAGCTCAGAGCGGTATTGCGCAATGAATTCATTGTTGGCAATTGCGAGTGTGAAGTTGACGTTTTTCTATGCTGAGAAAAGGGAAGTATTTGTTTCGTTATACTTTGCAGCCACTGTTCGTTAATGGCCTGCGGGCTGTCCGTAGCGATGTGGCCAGTTTTTCCCTCTTGAACGGTGCTGTCGTGCGAGAGGTGGTGTTCCCAAATAGTCGATGCTCAGTTGTCGAGGACGGGGTGTTCCCACAGCGTGTGCGGCAGGGCCTCCTGTGGATTGTCGGTGGCTCAGCGGCTGGTGGGGGCTGCAGCAGAGGAGTGGCTGAAGGGCTACGGCTGTCATTGGAGCTTGCAGAGGTGCGTTGTCCGTTTTTTGCTCGTTGATACGCTTGACATTTTTGGTGGTGACCTGCGCGTGAGGCACTTGTTGGGGAGACCGTGGAGCTGTCGCAGAATCCACATGTGAGGCCTTCTGCAACGATTGGAGTGCCAGGGTTATTGCGTCGGGCGTGTGCCTTCGTATTGTGGACGGACGAGAAGACGCTGCTGCAGCTTGGGCAGGGCGACGTTGATCCGCTGCTCGTCATCCTACGAGGAGGTGCCGTGGACACGCCAGGTGGAGGTTCCGGAGGAGGTCGGGGCAGTCCTGCCTCTTCAGAGAGGAGGAGCAGCACCACCGACATAAAGGGTTGCTTGTGATCCGCAGGGCGCGTGCCGGTCTGCCGAAGAGTGGGCAGGAGGACGTCCATCAGCCGCTTGCTGGTCCGTAAGGAGTGGCGGTGCTCACGTCGGGAAGAAGTTCCGGCGGAGGCAGAGCACAGACGCGGTCCCAACAGCACTGCAGCACAGCCGATCCCAGAGGGCAGGGACGTGGCGCCGCCATGCCTCGGGGCATCACAGGCCTTGGGATCGAGAGGGCACCAAGCTGTTTCGCACGGACCTCTGGCAGCATGGAGAAGCCACGACGAAGGGCATTATTGCGGTCCTCCCGTTTGCGGTGCACTTCAGCTCGTGACAGGCTGCCGCTGCAACACACTCGGCCTGCTCCATTCCGTCCGTCCAGGTTCCTGTGGGAATGTCGCGGCTGCCGCTCGTACGGTGCCGCGGTGCATCTCAAACCATGCGGTCACAGCGGCCAGAGTTGTTCCACACGCCGAGGTGGAAGCATCACAGTCAGCTTCACGCAGGACAACGGTGAAATGTTTCCGTCGTGGCAGCATGCCTGCCTGTTGCGGGATGCCGTCCTCCGTCCCTGCAGTGTGGGATGGCAGATGGTGGTCCGAGTCCATGTAAACGGGTGGACGTCCAGTGGGAGACACGCAGTGCGCGTTGCGCAGTCACGTCGGGAAACGATACGCTGCGGCCGCTGATACGCGTTGCCTGTGCCGGGTCGTCGGACAGCCCAATCTCCATGTCGATTGGGGTGGCGACGAGGTCCTCTCCTGCCGTCTTGGATGGTGAGCGACCGTCACGCAGCTCATGGTGTGAATTCACGTCGCAAATAACCGCTGCAGGACCAAGCGACGAATGTTGCTCGCAAAGTGAGCAGCGTGAGCAATTGCCGTGGGAAGGCTGCAGAGGTTCACCGCGTGCATGCTGGGGCAGGCCGGTGGGCACACGCGGAAGGCGGTGGTCTCCAGGCAGTTTGTGCCACGAGCTACAGGCGCTCGCACGGCAAGGTGTGGCGCACCAAGAAGGCCACGCCACCGGCACGCCCACCGCAGGCCTGGTGGAAGTCACCGCAGCCAATGAGCCTCGTCGCTGGGGCACTCTCGTGCCTGCACTCCTGCAGAAGAGCCATGCCGGGCTGTTGCTGCGCCAGTCGAGCAGCAGAAAAAAAGAGGAGCACAGGGAATGAAGGTATGAGCCACCAGACAACTACAAGGCCATCCTCATCGGGGCTGCGGCTCTTACGGACACCACCGCAGCGGGTGATGCAGACGAAGTGGCCGCAATGAAACGACTGTGCGGTTCTGTCAGTCGGGCTGCAGGCAAACCGCCTCGCCGCTCCACAACCGACAGAGCGTGGCACCTTCTCGAGGGGTGAAGCCGTCGTGTCCCCATCACGCTCGCAGCAATGCCCTGCTGCAATCACTCCGACAGAGAGACAGGGAAGAGTGTGTGGATGTGTGCCGAGAGCACAGCGACTGTCATCGTCAGAGGCCATCGTGGCACCATCCGTCACGCGTCAGCACACACCGAGCAACGCCCACAACCGGCAGAGCAAATACAAAGGGGGAGAGAATGTCCCCAAGAGCAGGCAGCACCCTCACACATGGCGGACATCGCACAGCCGCGTCAGCCGGCCACAAACTCAATGCAAAAGGCGTCCCACACACATCCATCCAATGGTACCGTGATTCCCACCGCAGGCAGAAACGCAGCTGCCTCGCCATCTCGGCACTGGATGCAATCCAACGTCCCTACGTTCGCCAAGAGCATTCATGCAGACCACCGTGCAAATACTTTTTTATGTGTGCTGGAGAAACGGGGAAAAAAGGAGGGGAAGCACAGGGAGGCACATCAACACAGCAAGAGGCACAGCTGGATGACAGCGATACATGCAGTACGGCCCCAACCTCAACAATCACGCAAGGTGGCGGCACGCACCATCCACAAAAAACAACAGAAAAAACAAAAGAAAAGAAAACCACGGCGGCAGGGTGTGGCTGTGTGTGTGGCGCTGCGGGTGTCTGCCCGCCCTGGCCGCAAAAAAAAAAACAAGAGGGAAGAAATGTGTGCTCCGCCCACAGGCCCTCGTCGCACGCCCACACGTCACGGCTCCCTCAGCGCGCCGTTCGTCGCGGCCCCTCCTCATGCGTGCAGCAGGCGAGGCGCACAGGGCCGTCGTCATGAGCGTGTCGGTGGGTGTGCGAGTGGAGCAGTTGGGCGGGAAACACACGGCATCCCTCGCAGGAAGAGCGCAGCAACAAACAATTAAAAGAGGGCAGAGTAGAAAGAAAAAACGTCCATAGTGATTGCCCCCAGAAAAGCAAAAAAAAAAAAAAAAAGGAATGGGTATATAAAACGCACAGCAAAGCAAACAGGGAAGAAGTAAAAAAAGTTATTAAAGAAAATAAATTAATTACCGTGTGTGTCGGTGCAGGGGAGGTCGCAAGTGTCCCACGCGGCAGCCAGTCACTCCTCACAGAGCCGCAATCCCCCACAGTCCCAACAGAAGCAACAGCGATGGCAGCAGTCCGCTCCCACACATGGTGCCGGCATCGGTGTTATTCCCCTGCGACAAATTTCCGAGGCTGCTGTTGAGCTCCGTAGCATTCACTTCCCTGTTCAGTGGCTGTACCTCTTCCTTCTGCACATCCGTTCCTTCTCTTTTCTCCATCGTTGGCTCGCCATCAGCAGTAGAACCGCCATCCACGGTTTGAGCTCCATCGGAAGTTTTTCCTGACGCCACCTGCTTTACGGAGTCCTTTTCTGCCGATGGAGTGCTGACAGCAGACACCGCTGATGTGGATGCACCGCCACTGTCCGCACCACTGCTCCCCATCGGCTGTCTCTGTTGCGTGCGATGTGTTACGGCGGGAGTGGACGAAGTTCCGGCTATCTGAGCAGTTGCGGCCACCGAAGGGATGTGAGATACAACGGAAGCAGAAGCAACTGGTGAAGGCGACGACGGCTCCTTTACCAAAGGTGAAATGGGGGCTTTATTCGGTTTGAGGGCGCCAATCTCTGCGGAACTCAACGGGCGGTTGTACAGCAGGACGTTCCTCACAGTCACAGACACGTCGTCTTGGCTCCCTGCGCCGCTTCCATCCCCTCCAATGAAGAAGTGTGAGATCTCCTTCGAATCCGCAATTTTCAATACACGTGACTCATCTCCGACACTTTTACCATCGACGTTACGCAGAGCCCTTGGTGCCGTTCCGTAGCACAATGGCCACTTGGTGTTTTGATGTCTTTGTCTCCAAATAGCTGCCGAGCTTCTCTGATGTTTGGCCACTGCAAAGCACTGCCCAATTCCCTTCTTTTTTGTATGACAGTCCCAGGAGTACTGTATTTTCACTGTCATTAGTCTTCGCACCCATCAATGGAAGTGTATCTCCTTCCGGCTCACCGTCTATGGTCACCGTCGCCACAAGAGTGAAGTTGTAGTTCGCAAAGTGGTACAGCTGATTCTCCCCTTGCCTGCCAACAGGCCACTCCGCCCACGCACCACGTCCTGTGAACCTCACGCCGCCGGCATGCAATTTTGCCTCTGTTGAAGCTCCAGTTACCGTGGCGTTCACTCCGAAGTACTCGTCCTTCCATGTGTTACCAGAGAAGTTGCCGGACAAAAAACCAACCAGCCCATCCGTGATCTTAACAGTGCTGCAGGCAGTGTCAGTTGCGGTGTCCTCCAGAGCACTTTCAGTGGGGCACAGCTTAGAGACGCGTTCGTCCACTTCCTTCCAGGTCGTCAGCACCTCCTTCACCCGCTGCAGCTGCTCAGTCAGACGCACAGAGACCATGCCGGGTGATGGTTTTTCCCCGTCGTCCTTCTTCTTCTCGTACAGTGCAATCAACTTCTCCTCATTATTATTATCTCCACTTTTATACAGCAGGGAGCTCGCCGCAGCGTCATCTTCCTCGGACACCGGCCCAATATCAACAATGTGCGTATTGTCCGTCAGCCAAAGATGGAGTACGCCCCTTGAATTGTCTTCCTCCTTTGAATACACCGGCAGAGTGACAAGCATCACATTTCTCTTATCTTCAACACCGTCAATTGTCGATGTGGTGAACCCGCTTCCAACGCCCTTCTCATTTCTCTTTCTGTTGCCCCACACGCGCGAGAGTGTCCCGAGTGCCTCCGTCCACGAATCCCCCTTGTCACCGGACTCGTACACCCTGCGGCCACCATCACACGCAGTCATCATCATGAGTTTGTCCTTCCACTCCACGACGGAGGGATCACTGCAGCCATCGGCAGGCACCTCCTTCGACAGTGTCCAGCTCTCAGTACCCTGCAGGTATAGGAACAGAGAAACGGTCTTTCCATCCTTCTCCTTTTTGGTGCCTTCCACTGGGAACACAAGCGTACCGTCCTTCATCTTAAGACCCGATCCACCGCCGCCAATCAGCTGTGACAAGGATTTGTGTTTCTCGCCCAGAGTGCACGGTACACCGCCAGTAGTTTGCTTCCAACGGATTTTTTTGTCGCCTTCACCACTGACCTCACCCTTCACCAGCAATATTCCCGATTTGATGTTCTCAGCGTCAGCCTGACAGTTATCGGACGCTTCATGGCTGTTTTTTCCAACAAGCATGTAAATATCACTTCCATTCACAACTGTTGTTGGTCGGCTCACATCTACTTTCTTGCTTGGGGAAACGCCTTCCTCCAGAACTTGTGTTTTATCCTTTGCATTCTTCAGCACTTCCTCCGGTTTGTTATCCGTTTCCATCGAGAGTAGTTGGGATGCAATGCCAGTAAAGACGGTGTCTGGATCCTTCTTGCACTGCGCCTCGGCAACGGCAAACACATCACCATTCACCTCAACAAGACTGGGACCACGAAGCAAACTCACAGTTTCATTACCTGTTGTATCTCTCCAAGCAAAAGATGACTTCGGTATAGGTTCCTGACCTGACGCTGGCTCGACACCTTTCACAGCTCCTCCAGTGCCGCAGCACATCATCACGACGAGGAGGAGGAGCACCGCGGAAGTAAACACACGCCGGGACATTTTGGGCCTCTGCGGCTCACTCTCTCTTCCTTCCCTCCTCCTTCCGCGGGATCCGGTCACACGGCGACGGTTGTGTGTGCGGGTGCCTTCACAGCTGCAACACGTGAGAGCATACAAATATGTGTGTGTGGGCGGTGTGTGTGCTGTTGGTTCTTTCAGTGCCTTCGAATTTCACAGTAGCGATTCGCGCTTGTTTGCTTTCCTTTTCAAGTGTGTGTGTCATAAATGGGGAGAAGAGCACAGGGAAACACATTAGACACGCCAGTGGGGTGCACAGCATGCCACTGCAGCAACAATCATTTATTCCAACCATACACACGCCGAGGTGGAAGGGCTGTGTTTTTTTTCAAAAAGGTCGACGCACAACCACCAGCAGACGTGCCAGCGCTCACAGCCAAAACAAAAAAAAAAAAGGGATACCCGCCTCGTGGGCAACAGGACAACATCTCCGGCCCACACACAAAAGCAGCGGAAAAAGCACTAAACAGACAACAGTCAGCGGCACACACGCCAGACTCAGCTGTGCCGCACGGAGCCAGTCGCCTGCCCTGTTGCTGAGAAACACGGCATGGAATATCCGCCGGCCATTGCGTCGGGGATGCACGCCAAGCCGTGCACAAAATCCCACCAGGACCCAACGCATTAACTCTAACTTCGCGCACATCCCCACAGTCGCATCCTCGACATTCCGAGCTGTGCCTCAGAAAGCGGTGAAGGGCAGCGTCGAAGGAGTAAAACGCCTCCGCACCGTCGCAGAGCATCAGACTGAATGAAAGGCCAAAGTCCTCCACACTCATCACAGACGCGTCACACGCGGCGCCGTACTTCTCCCTCATGGAACGCCAATCGAAAGTAAATGTCGGCACCGTCATTCCCAGGGCGGCAGCGTGGCCCAATTCAAACGCCGTCCCGCAGTCCGGCCCATCCAAGCAAAACAGACACAGGTCCGCAATGACGGCGTCGCGCCGCCTTACCATCTCCATTTTCTTCACCCGCATCCCCCAGCCCCTGGGGCCACTTTGTCAGCGGGAATGAGCGGCACGGCGCAGTGTACCCACAGAGCCGTGCGCACACGATCCTGGCACGCCACACCCGTGCCCACGTCGAACACAGCGGGGCCAGCAATGTACACCCCACTCATTGTGAAACTGCCTCCTTGGCTCCTGTCCTTCCGCTCCTCCAAACGTAAAAGAAAAGGAAGCGGAAGAAGTAAATCAGAGAACGGCGCCGTCGCAACAAGGCAGAAGCACGAGGAGTACCACTCACGCAGGACAGGCGTCGCTCGCAAGCAACGGAAACACAAGTTGAAGAGAGAGGATGCCAGGAGCGCAAAAATGCAGGCCTTCTCGGAAGAATGCGCCCTCAATAAAATGCACCCGCGACAAGCAAATTAAGAACAACTGTGACGTCGCTGACGCGGCAAGCGGCAGACAGGGACGGGCAAGGTGCCGCTGACGCTACTGCATTCTCCACATTCCGCTCCGCCGCCCTCGCCCAGTGCCCAGCGTGGAGCGTGACGCAGAAACAATGAAAAATGAAAGCTGCCGATCGCATCGTTAGTGTGTGGAGGGTCCACGTATTGCGGGTAACGGGCCCACGCACGTGTCGTCCATGCCGCCTACAACAAGACACCTCGGAGAGCAGAAATACGGCCTCCACGCCATCCAGCGCGTTGCTGGGGCGGCACGGTAGTGGTGAGGCAAACACACACACACACACCTCGTCCACAATGCGGCAAGTGAACGGCAAAAGAGCACAGCAACCACAACACCAAACTCCACACACGCGCAGAAGGAAGCGCGCACAGCCCGTCACTTGTTTTCTAGTGATTGTATGCGTGTGATGGACGCCACACCAGCAACAGCTTCGACGGCATCGACGTCTCATACAATACAACACTCGGCATTCCACCTCGTGACGCCGGGCACCAAAAAAACAATATGTGGGCGCAGCGCCTCCACCCTTCAAGCCAGAGGCACGGCGCATCCAACAAACCCGCCTTCCACCCCATCGTGTGGGCAAGACGATGCAGCAGGAAGCCAACCCATTAATGCCAGCAATACAATCCCCACGCGATGTGCACCACAGTGTCAGCTGCGTAAGCATGTGCGAATTTCAGACGATGCGGAACAAAAACAAAAAACGCATTGACGATGCACAATAGTCCGGATGAAATACATATATCACAGCCATCCTCCGTCTGCAGCACAGGATAGTGGCCGCACGGGCTGCAGTTGCGGCCGTACTCGCACGCCTTCAGCGTTCACAGCGTGTGCATAATGGCGTGTGTATGTGTGCATGTCAGTGGATATACTTGCAGAGTAGCTGTGCGGCAGAAGAGAATTCAAAGGGAACAAAGGGCAGAGAGAGGCAGATAGCGCACACGCAAATTACTCATATCATCACACACACACACACGCAGCCGCGGAATGGGTGCACTCAACCACAAAATCAGAAAGGAAAACAAAACAAAAAGCCGAAGCGTGGGACGACCAGCGCACACACTCTCATTGCTCCCGTAAAGCGAAACACACACACAGGGAGAGAGAGAGGTCGCCCACTCAATGCAATAAAAACAAAACAAAACAGTTACGGTGCTCCGCCCATGCAGCCAGGCAGGACGGCAGCGGTGCGTGTGGTGCAAAAGAGAGCACCAACGGGCATGTATGGGTGTGCATGCATATATACAATGGGCACATTATGTGTGTGCCTCGTGGGGTGAGGCGAGGGCGAGAGTCCATGCAAGGGGACACACACAGAGAGAGAAGGACGAGTGTGTGTGCGGGCGGTGCATGGCTCTCCCCCTCACTCTCACGCGGCCACCACCGCAGCCGCAGCCGCACACGCAACAAGAACAAGAAGCAAAAGAGGGGAGGTGGTGTGGGAGACCGCGGTGCTGCCGTCACTCTCGCCAGTCGTCTCCCGTGCAGTTTTCATGGCTGTGGCCGTCACCGGTGTTTCTTTCGGATTGGCATCTTTATTTTCATTTTGTTTTCCCTCTGCCGTCCCTGCAACATCAGCTGCTGGATGATTGCTCGGGATGCCGTCTTTAGTGCTCTTGTCAAAATCTTTATTGGCGGCATCACCGTTTGCCGTGGGTGAAGGTGGCCTGGATTCTTCATGGTCGGCAGATGGTTCATTCTGTTGTTTGGCTGCGATGGAGGCAACGCTCTTTGTTTGTGGATTGTGGTTTGAGTCCTTTTCGCCTTGGACTTCTTCTGATTGTTTCACATCCCCTAAATCCTCAGGGCTGGGCTGTCCATTCACTTGCGTTGTTGCTGTTTTTATTTCTTCGTTATTGGTTGGACCTCCAGGTGTCTCCGTTGGTGCCTGATTACCTGCGTTTTTTTTGTCTTGTTCTGTCTCTTGCTCTGATATTATTACTTCCGTCTCCTCTTCACGACCATCAGGTATACTGTCACGATCTTCTTTTTCCTCTTCTTCCTCTTCCTCTTCTTCGTCTTCGTCGTCATCCTTAGCTTCTTCCTCCTTTTTATCTTCTTTTGCATTTTGATCCTTGTTGTCCGTCGTTGCACTTGCCGTTACTGATGCTCCTCCTCCGGATTGTTGTGCCTGTAATGATTCCGCTGACACTACCGGTGATTCTGACGCCTTTGGTGCAGGTGCTTGTGGTATTTCCGGTTCATCATTTTTGACACCTTGTCCAGTGCCAACGAAGGTCTCTTCTTCTTTTTGAGGGTTCTTTTCGTGCGGTGTATCCGGAGGAGCTGGAGAAGGTGTTTCAGATGGTTCACCACCGCCGGCACCGCACCACAGCACGCAGAGGGCACACACCAGCAGCACTCGGCCAGTCATCATCATCACGGCTGCACACACAGTCTAGGGAGGGACAAAGAGAGGAGGATGAGAAGAACACACACACATCAGCAGCATGGAAAAGGAGGAGTAGCGTTTGCATGAGGGTTGTTGTCATGACCATGGGGGACGCGTGCACGCAGGAAGAACAGGCAACAATGAAACACCGGACAGCACGGCACACAACTCCACGGAATGTAAAACCCACCCGCAGCTGCCCCCAATGGAAGAGAAGGAGGACGCAACAGTACGGCAGGAACACAGTGATGCCGGTGCAGAAAAGGATGCCAAACCGGCGTGAAAAAGAAAAGCAAAAAAAAGTCTTCCCCCACAGCGGCCACATCCAACAACGAAAGCAATAATAACAGAAACAAACACCACACACGGCAACTCACAGCGGCAGTGAGTACCCTGTCGCCAATCTTCATGGCTGCACGCTACCGCACTCCTCGTGAGTCCATCGCTCCGCTGCCTCCTCCTTCCCGCGGCTCCCCCGCACGAACAGCCACGGCACACAATCGGGTCCATCCACACCCGTCGCCACGCCGCCCTCAACGACCCAACAGGCAACCGCCCAAAAACCGTTGCTGAAATCACACACCCGCGCCGAAGCACGCGACGCAACATCATGTCACGTGGACCCCGCCGTCAGAAGAACGTCATGTCAACCGTTTGGCCGGCACACGGTACAATCGATCGACAGAACAGAGAAGTAAGACAGGCACTCAATCAAGGACTCTCCAAACACGCAATGCTCTTTTGATGCCGCCGCTGCTGCCACGGGCACGGTACCCGAGCGGAGAATGACACGCAGTAGAAAAGGCCTCACAAGAGAGAAACAATCCACACGTCCATATGCAAAGCGCCACTCAGGCTGCTGCGGCTGCAGGGTCCGTGGGCAAAATGCGCCTTA